ATATCGCGTGTTCTCCCAAGCACGACTCGTTGTGCACTGCGTGCGGTGGTGATTAAATAATCGAATTGAGCACGAATCGATTAATCGACGCATCAGCTTGAGGGACACGAGCATGTTGGAGTGACGGCATTTTAGAGTACAGTGATCCCTCGTTTATCGCGGTTAATGGCGACCGGAACCGCTCGCAACAGGTGAAAATCCGCGAAGTAGGATTGCCCCCTAGGAATTTCCGTATATGTGTGTGTGGGTACCATAATGTTTAAAATATGTATATTTATACTTTATATATATATTTTACTTAAATCTATTTAATTATAAAACCTTAATATTATACATTCACTCTCTCTCTCATACGATACGTATTATGGTGTTCTACACTCACCAATGACAGTAGTATCTTGAGACTTGACTCCAGTAATGACGACGACGACGACGATGACAATGACGATGACAATGACGACGATGACAGACCTGTGTGCAGTTCGATGAATGTGATGAGGAATGATGATGATGATGGTGTTACTGCACAGGTATAATGAGGCCTTTAAATCAGTTCGAAAAATCCGCGATGCACTGAGGCCGCGAAACTTGAACCGCGAAGTGGCGAGGGATCACTGAATTCGTCTGAACTGCTTTATGGTGTTGCCTTCATATCCACATCTCCAGTTTCTTCAGCCTCCCACTTTCCCCCCCCCCCCGGCATTTGCCTTGCTCTCCTAGCTCGCCCTACCCCACACCCCCTCTCTATCTCTCGTGATTTAATTTAATTTATTTTCTACCTACGTGCCTTTACCGAAAGAACCAAAGAGTATATGGATCCCTGCAGTCACGAAAACTCCAAATCACGAGCATCAGTCGCAACGCTCTCTCTTGACAAAGTCGACACGTGAACAAAAGGGCATTGTGGTATCTAAAACAACTCCCGCCGAGTGTTAAAGTTTCACACCCTCTTGAATGTTGAGTTGCATTTTTAAGTGTAAGTTTGACCCTTTATTATTCTGGATTTAGACCTCAGACGTGTGTTTTGCGTGTACTTCCCCATATGCAGTTCCGTATTGGCGTATGTCAATGGATAATTTCACATTTGATTAAAATACATTTATTGTTACACTGGTGTGTATGTAAAACGCAAGGGAAGCCTGCTTGGTTACATTGAGAACAAGGCACTCAGTTGAAATGGCCAGCGGAAGGCGATGTAAGTGAAGCTTCTAATCACATCTGGGTGCAAATGGGAAATATTTGCCAGCATCTGGACAGCCTCCGTAAAGTTAAGCGGGGACACATCAGACAAATAAGAACTACGGTGATCTCACTGGGCTCTTGGTTGAAGAAATAAAATTCTATAAATTTCATATCTGTACGTATGTTTCAGTTTCATTTATTAGGTATAACCCTGTGAGCCATGCGGCTCTTGACTCGGGTGCAACTGCAACCAAACAAAAATATGAACAAGAAACATCTTAAAGTGACTACACGCGAACAGAAAAATCCTGGAAAAACAGCAAAGTCTTCCAGAAAAATACCGTATTTCAACGCTGTGTGCAAAAATCCCGGTGGAATGCAAGTCAAACAATAACAACCATAAGACAATGTAGATTAAAGTTATCAGGCTAACTCTGTACTACAACAAACAAACATGGCTAAACCAAAACGTTTTCAAAATCACCAAAATAAAGCTATACAAACAATGTAACAGTGATCATAGGAACGATATACATGTGGTGATATCATCGGGCTCTCTCGTGTTTAAAGAGAACATGCTTTCTTAGTGGTTTCACCAAATTCAACAAATAAATAAATGTGATTCTGGCCATTGTATGGAGCGCTTACAGCATAGAGGACATAATAGCAGGGTTCGTTCTACCAGTCTTGCACTCGTCACATAACTTGAGTACATTGCCACTCTGTCCCAACCCTTTTTCCCATTAGCTCATTACATCCTCCAGCAGATACAAACCTTCTCACTCCCCCATCATTCTCAAACACACTCCTGCGGAGGGAGCTGGTAGGAACGTTGGGTTGCTCGGTCAATGGCCAGGGTCAACGGCGGCGTGGTGTATTCCGCATATATGGCCGACTGTGAGGGCGGGCACAAACCGGCGTGAGTAGGTTAAACGTTGAGTTGTATAAGGGCACCACGGGGTGACCAGCCCCTCCCCACCCAGCCTCACCCCTCCCACCCCCCACCCAGTCCCACCCTCCCCACCCAGCCCCTCCCCACCCTCCCCACCCAGCCTCTCCAAACCCGACCCTCCCACCCAGCCCCTCCCCACCCTCCCCACCCAGCCCCTCCATGCACGACGGACACAGTAATCCCCTGTGGGCTGGTGTAACCAGGAGGTTCCTACCAAAATAATCATAATCTGCTCTCCCTGCACCACGGTCTTTGACTCGCTCTTTCTCCAGTCGAATCCCTTTGATGATACAGCACTTGAATTGTGTGTACCTCATCAGTACTGTATCTGCATTTTCTAGCTGCTTGTTTATATATCCGTCTTAGCATGTTCTTCCTTTGAATTTTTTTCATTTGATCTCATTATTTATAAAGCTGGAATTTTTTTTAAATGAAATAATCGCACTACCACTACAATGACAATAGTTTAAAGCGATTTGAAGCATATTTTATTTTCAAAATGGAAGTATGGTTTTGGGGGGGGGGGGGGATTAGCTGATTAATAGTTCAGATAAGGGTAAGTGTAAAGTAGCCAGGGTGGCGGGGGGCAGGAGATTAGCTGATTAATAGTTGGCATACAAAACCATTTGCTAATTTTAGACGTGCTCCAGTCAACTTTGACTGGCAAAACAACACTCGTTGAAGAAAGGCATATTAAATGTTATAAACTTGCTATTTTTGTGCGGGTTTACTTCTAAGCTTCCACATTCGTAAATAACTAGGAAAACGTGATTTTGACATTCGTGGAACTGTAGCATTAGGAATAAAAAAAATACATAAAGTTTGAACATGATATATATTTTGCATGAGAAATTCAGCTCTCATCATCCACATCAATGGATAATGAACTAACTGTGCATAAACCGAATACATACATACACTACACAGCATACCCAATACCACAGCGCCTGTATTTTTACCAATATATCCAAACAGGGAGAACATTAACGCCCCATATGAACTCTTTGACCAGTGTGTTGTATTCAGCATACAGTGCACGATTAGACAATCGCATTTAAAGGTGAGAAACCCTTTAGGCAAGTGTAGTTCGTAAGAGGGATGTCAGACAATTTGAAGTCTTAACAGTCGTGAGAATTATTTTATTGTTTTATTTTTATTATTTTATTACTTCCCTTCTACGTGACTTTACCGAAAGAACCAAGAAGTCTTAACAGTCCCATTTGCTTAAATGGGCAATGGGATGGCGTGCATCGCCATTGTAAATTCCGCACTCCAATCGTGGTGGGCCAGTGTTTTTATACGACCAGTGTCAACTTGACCACAAAGCTGTACACCTTTTATTGACACCAGAAAGTTAAATAATAATAATAATGTCAATCCTGGATAAGGGCCTACTCTTGTCGTTCGTTAATGCTTCCTGTGCATACAGTGTGTGTGTATTTCACAGTACATTGTCTACAATCTATAAACAATTTTGTATAGGAAGTGTTTTTTTAGTAGCCAAAAATATATAGTAATTGCTTAGTCGTGAAACACGATTCTCTTTCTTTGCAGAACAAAACTGATCAAACAGCACGGCTTAATCATTCTTACGTGTCTCGTAACTGAACATCATGTCCAAAATCAATAACGGCACGGCGAGATCATATAAAGCAATCACACAGAGCACACACTACAGTGCATGGCACACGACAATACACGCCACACACGACAACACACAAAGCACACCATTTGTTTATTATCGTTCCCACAGATACAGTAGCGAATATTTTGGAGCACAGCATTTATAATTTCCTTTAAGGGCATTGGTATCATCCAAAATAATGTGATAAGTTGATTCTGCAACCAAGCCCAGCATATATTTAGAACACCCTTTACCAATACACTGCTGGATGAAGCCCTCACCATGACATGTTTGTCATGAAAGTTGTTTGACCATACTTCACCAGGATCAGTTCAGATGTCACCTGTCACTTAAGGTAGCCGTGAGTGGGAATCAAACTCAGGTTGCCGGGTTCGTAGTGCAGTGCGCGGACCACTGCGCACAACTCTGCAGAATATTAGAGCAGAAATCTAAGGGCAATCTTAAGCACTCAAGTAAAGTATAATGTTATTCCATATCCCAATCGGAGATTATTAATACACTTTCAACAGTTTTTTTAAGAGTGCTTTAAAATCAATGATGTTCCATAAGCATTTCTGGCAAAATTACGAATGTATAGGAATCTCCATGAATCTTGAGAAAAATATTGGCCATGGCAGTTTATTGTAGTTATTTAACAATACCACAATCTCATTGTGTTACTTTGTTAGAGTGCATTCCTGTCGTTCAATTCTCAAGTGCGCAGTGATCTGCCTAATTTATATATTAACATATCGTGGTACACAGTGATTGCTTTATGAAGATACAATTCCCTGCGATAGGCATGTTGAATTCCAGTACTCTACCAACAATTGAGATGAGTACTGCTGCTGATTTGGATAAGGGGAACACACTCCCTTATTTAATGAGTGGCATGGAATTGCTGAAAAGCGTACTATTCCTACGGGGAGAAGAATTTGCTGTTCTTTCGAAAGTTCACGTGAAAAGGGAGGACCGGCAAAGACTTAGCAAGTGTGTGCACACGTTAAAGTAATTTACTCCACCATAAATCACCTTAATTCACAAGCCCCTTCGGAGCAGTGATACACAGTGGCCTGTGTGCTCCACGTTGACTTCGTAAACTCTCTCGCCCTGGCCGTTATTTGACACCGGTGGCGGTAACTCTGTCAGTCACGTGGCCAGCGTTGGCATTCCGTAGCGCACATAGTTCTGGCAAAGCGCAATGGGTTTGCCAGATGCCACTTGTCTCCCGGTGCCTGTCGTGGGTGGCTAACTATATCCGTGGCGGAGTTGCGCCTCACTGCCGCGTCTCCCACCACGGCGCGCGTGTCATTTCCGCGCGGGGCAATGGTAACAACGCTTTAGCTCCTGACCTTCAAATTTTAATTTTGTGTAGACCACCGAAACACAAGTAGGAGTGGGCTTGCTGTTGAAGATTTGTGAAGTGAACATGATGGCCGCAAAAATGAACCCGAAGATGGATACGCGGCATGGAAGAAACTCTATCCCTGGATTCTCTCGTGAAGTAATGTCTCCTGACAGTTCTTACCAGGAGAACTTTTTGGATGACAAGGATCTTCGAGAAATGACCGAAGGGTAAGAAATTGCACTGTTGGGAATATTCCTAACCATGTCTACTTAACTTGCATTTTATTTCGGCTATCTGAATTTATGCACGGTGTTGATTTATGTCAAAATATGTCGTTGTTGCTGCTGGTAGTTTCATTAAGCTAAAGTAATTTGGGTTCTCAAAACGACTGGATATATTCAGCCAAAATTTACAATTTGGTAAGCAATGTGTCCATGAATTACATCTTAATGACTATAACGTACAGTAAAAGCACATTACGGCTTTAAATAGTTGTCATAAAGCAGATGTGTGGCCTTTATCGGGTAACATCCATTTGATAAATTACGGCCAGTAAATCTACTGTGTAATGTCACTTAGAGCACAGTGCACTATACTATTTACCTACAAGAGGCCTGCAACTTCAGAGGCACTTGAGGGGACAGAGCCCTGCTACTGGAAGCATCACGCGCTTTCAGATGCGCTTGTGCGGTTGTCTGGAACGCCTCTTCCGATATTAGGAAGCCACTGGAGCTATGCAGATTGAAAACTCATTCCTTTAGACCTGTTTTTTTGTGTTTAGTTTGTTGTCCTTTCCCCGCATCTCCGATCAGCACGATTGACTATGTACGGTGTGAAAGAAGTTCAACATGTATACTGATATTGTAGTCAAGTCAAGTATGCAGTTTATTTAAAATTGACTCTGCAGACCCCCCCCCCCCCTTTCCGATTATTTTGTATAACCCCCTCTTTAAAAAAACGCTCATGGTACAGGATGGCTCTACAATGTTACATAAAAAATTCCATTGAAGGGAATAATTGGCCAAACAACAAACAATTGTGAGACCTTAATCATGTAACATTGAGAACATTGAGAAGAGCGTATGTGGTGGTGGATTTGACTATTGGTCAAAAAATGTAAGGATGATTAAATAAATAACATCGCATCATACATCTGCTGAATATCGCATGCTGCATTGATGAAAACAAGCTAGCTTGGTCTCTGAGACTGTTGTCATCGTTGACCCAAATAGAAGATACTAAATCCATAAATAAATATGGTATTACATGTGTGCATACAACATGGGTGTTTATGCTCACGTTCCTTTAGGTTAGGGTGCCATTCACAATGTAGTTTAAGAAAAGGCTTAACCGACCGAAATAATATCTCAGACAACGGTTAAAGACAAATGGTATTATTTCATGTGAGCTGTAAATTATTGACGGCTGAAACGTTTCCATGCACCTTGTTTTCACCAAGATTGCTCTATTTTCAATGTGGCACGCACATCTATGTAATTGTGCATTGTGCAATTAAACTTTAACTTGACGAAGCGCGCTATTCTTAGGCGTGGTGACGTAAACGCTGCAACAGCCATCCCCAGTGTGATGGATCGCTGCCCCATAGTCCAACATTTAATATCCATGGCTGTCGTGATATATGAAGCTGTGTGCTCAGCCCTTGCAAACGACCTTAGGAAATACTTGCCTAAAATAAAAGTGTTGCACTCAGCTGAAAACCTTGGAGAGGAAAACGCAGCACAAGATATATATATGTTTGTTGATGAGAGTGGACTGAGTGTTATTGGAAAAACCTTTGTATTGACGTATAATTTTAATAGGAGGTTTATCAGTATAGGTTTATATATAATCCTCTTGATATTCCAGCTCACCGTCAAAATTCTGAAGGCAATTATTATTGGAATGCAGGACTTACATTTATCCTTCAATATGCATTTGGCTGCTATGAATTTCCACGTGATAAGCCATTTCCTTGAGCTATCATTTGGCCAAGTTGCTTCTCAAAAAGAGCTACATCGCTCAGTGGGCCTTACCTGGTAAAATAAAAAAAAGTTTAGAGTTAAAAACATCTAATCACTATTTTATTTAAGACTACAATGATGCTGATAATAATGATTACAGTTATGATGATGACGATTGTGACAGATGCATTGATAACAAATATAATACAATAAGAACAATAGTGACATTTTTTGTATTTGGTACATTTTATTCGTGAATGTACTTGTTTGTGATTCCTACATCATAGCATGTAGTATGCACTGATTAAAACAAAGAACATGGTACAACAACTGAAAGTGTGGAAAGGGAAATGAAGAGGTGTATGCTTAGAATTATTTTGACAGACAAAAAGAGACAAAAACATGATTGTGGGCTACCCATATTTGTCCATTGGCGTCAAAAACAGCAGCATCTTCCATGCGATGAGCGGTGGATTGATCATGGTTGATGATGACTAGTGACACTGTATTGACAATGGTTATGGGAATGTCATTGACAATGATAATAATAATAATATTAATGATGATGATGACAAGATAATGAAAGTAACAACAATAATGCTGGCAAAAATGTAAATAATGATGACGATGACAGCTTGTGTTGGGTGATCTGTGCCCAGGTTCCGAACATGGACGAAGGACCCGGTGGCACAGCCGCACGTGCAGGTGGTCGTGTCGAGCCCGTCATTCTCCATGCTGAGCGCCCAAGGCAGAGACCGCGGCGTGTCCGTCCTGTGGGAGACGACACCCGACCCTCGTTCCTCCTCGCGTTCCTCCTGGACCTCGGGATGCAGCACGTCGGGCGTGTACAGCCCACCGCCGCAGCTGGCGCCGCCACCACCGCCGTCAAGGCCCCTGGCCGCGTCCCCCGGTCGCATCATCTTCATCATGAGCGGCAAAGAGGTGGTGCTGGGCAAGGACTGCGAGAGGCTCGCTCCACGGCCCCGAACCATCGCCTCCACCGCCGCCGCTGCCCCGGGTTCACGGCGGGTGCCGGCATCCGAGCCGGGCGATCAGCCATCGGAAGATGAGACCGCCGCCGGCTGGTACGCTTCGGGCGTCTTGTCGGCGGACGAGGGCGTTGGCATGTCGCAGGAGAGCGACCTGGAGCAGAGCGTCGGCCGCTTTGGTGCTCAGCGTCTGGCCGAAGAGTACGGTAAAGGAGATTTACTCGCCACGGCCGCCGCTGCCGCCAACGTGGGTTTTACACGAGCCGATCCGGTGGAGACGGAGAAGATTGCCCACGAAATGTCACTGCAAAAGGATGTCTCTTTGGCTCATGACTTGAGAGATGCAACGCAACTGCAAAAATCCACCTTGTCTGAAGCTTCCATTGAGTCTGTTGGTGAGCTAGTTGCAGATAGTCACGTGACTCCCGGAACACTGGTGGCAGGAGATGGTGGCGCGGTGGGTGATGGTGACGAAGTTTTTAGTGGGTTCACTCAAATAACGGAGGTCAGTGTTGCAGAGATTCTTTCATCTGAACCAATTAGTATCAAGAGCGCTTTCAAATCACCCGACGAGGTTAAAGATAACACACCGTCAGAAAATGCCAGCGTTCATGAATTTCAAGAGGTCACCAGTGTGACCGCTCTTGACACTGCCGTGCCAAGAGATGGGCTGATTGGCAATGAAAATAAAGTCGGCAGCCTTTCATTGGACAAAGGTCAACAGGGAGAGGCTAAAGATGACATCAAGGCTGAAGAGACAGTGAAGCAAGGTGCAGTGGTTGGAATTTCAACAACCGTGACTGCATCAGATGTGCCTGCTTTGTGTGCTGATGAATTCCTCCCTGCAGACACGGATAATGCCAAGGCGGCCGATTCAGTGTCACAAATACCAAGTGGGGCTTCTACTGAATGTGTAGAATCGGCGGTTGAAACTCCAAGCTTGCCATCTGTATCACAAGCAACAGCTGTGGGCATCACAGCAGAAGTCACGGTGAATGAGGATGGTAAAGATGAATCAGTGGATAGTGTGTCCAATATATCTTACGAAGTAGCTGCATCTGTTGCTCTTAACGCACCTAAAATTAACGTTGAGCAAGCCAATTCTGAAGTTCCTTGTTTACAACAGTTAGCTGAAACAGCTGCTAGAGAAAAACAAGACCACGGTGTCTCTGAAGTGGCTCCACAGGGTGCACGTGATGCAATATGCCGAGGAGCATTCGGCGTTAACGAAAACGTTGACGATTGGGAAAGAATCGCTGCGGCTGGCGACCAAGAGAGGGGAGGCGTAGACACCAAAATCCTGACCAGCGACAGACATCCAGCTGATGAAATAACAGGTGGCGGTGTGAAAAGACCCGATGACAGCCAACGGGGCTTTAACGCTACGCCTGACAGACACGACCCCCCTTTGGGAACCGGTAGCACCGACGCTCAAGCAATCTACGATGCTGATTATAGCGAAGGTCTTGAGGAAAGTAAAGAACCCATGGCAACCCAGGCGGAGATCATTTCAGGAGCAATCACTCCGAGGCAGACTGAGCATACGGCGCCGCTGTGCTATGAAGAATCTGTTTATCCACTGGAAAATATTTCAGGGGAACACGCTGTCTCCAAAGATAACGCCGCGGATACATTTGCAACTCTTGTCAAGGAATCTGAGGTGCAAATGTCAGAGCAAATGGCCACAGCTCAATTGGCACATCAGGCAGTGAAGCCATTCGAGGATATGGGCACACACGTTTCTGCAGAACGTGGGGAGCAACATGAAGCAAGTGACATACCTCCCGATGAACCGCTCACAAGTGAGTGCATTAATGCATCTGAAGTAACATGGGGTGAGGGTAATGCTGTGGGGATGGACACTGCAGAAGAGACTGTCGCTGAGGTTGAATATTTCCATGATATCACTGGCCAGGTGAAGGTGGAGGTGGAGCAGTCTGGAGATAGTTTGCAAGAAGAGGGAGAGGCAGCAGACAAGTTATCCGGCAAAGAATTGTATGAAGGTCTTATCACCGAGAGGCACGATGCGCCTATTGCAGGTGACAGACCAGAGCACGCGATCAGCGTGCCAATGTTTGAGAAGTCAATTGATAGAGAAGAAGCTCATCTAGAGGCTGAAATTATGAGATCACATGGATTCCCTGTCTCCATACAACAGGACACACAGATGGAGCCACTGACAGAGAAGCCGACAGATGCTGTTTCTGAGATCCCTACTCAGTTTGACAACAGTCTACAAGAAGGAACACATCAACCATGGGACGGTGGGGACCATTACACTCAGATTTTTGAACCCATACAAGCTGAGACCTCCACAGTCGATGTGGATGATCAAACACAAGGAGAAGGATATAGACCTATATCTTCTGAACCGTTTGTCGCTGAGGTTGAATATTTCCATGATATCACTTGCCAGGTGAAGTTGGAGGTCGAGCAGTCTGGAGATAGTTTGCAAAAAGAGGGAGAGGCAGCAGACAAGTTATCCGGCAAAGAATTGTACGAAGGTGTTATCACCGAGGGGCACGATGCGCCTATTGCAGGTGACAGACCAGATCACGTGATCAGCGTGCCAATGTTTGAGAAGTCAATTGATAGAGAAGAAGCTCATCTAGAGGCTGAAATTATGAGATCACATGGATTCCCTGTTTCCATACAACAGGACACACAGATGGAGCCACTGACAGAGAAGCCGACAGATGCCGTTTCTGAGATCTCTACTCAGTTTGACAACAGTCTACAAGAAGGAACACATCAACCATGGGACGGTGGGGACCATTACATTCAGATTTTTGAACCAATGCAAGCTGAGACCTCCGCAGTCGATGTGGATGATCAAACACAAGGAGAAGGATATAGACCTATATCTTCTGAACCGTTTGTAACGCAGGTGTCTGATGATGCGGCTGTCCCTAGTGACCCGAGGGATGCTGGCCAACTTGTATTGCCAGTGTTTCTCTCTGAGTTACATGAGGAGGAAATTCCTGATGAAGTCATTAAAATCAGGCCCTGCGATGCTGTTGAGAGTGAAGTGTGTGCCGCATTGAAAGAGCATGTCCCTGAGTGTACACACGCAGTCTTTACAGAACCTGCAACAGAATTGATGGAAGAGCCTCACATGTTGGGTCATGACACAATGGGAACATTGAAAGAACATATCAATGACAATGTTGATGAAGAAAAGCGTGTAGATTTGCAGATGAAAGAGCCTATAGATATATTGGATCAAAGATATTTGGGCACATTTAAAGAAGGCATCTTGGATGATGCTGACAAAGTTCCGAAAATTATTGTTACAGAGTCTGCAGAAGGTTTAGAGGAACGTGAGTCCTTGTCCTTAGGTGCCTTGGATGAAGAGGAAATTGGAAGACCTGGCGAGTATGTTGACGAAGTAACGATTACAGAAATAGAAAATGTGTATGAAGGTGAACCCGCTGAGGTCATGGACTATGAATCAATAGGAGCATTTAAATGGAGTACTGTAGAGGGCGATAACGAAGAAATAAAACCTTTTGTGATAGAACCTGCTGAGGAATTAGACGAATTTGAGATGCTAGCTGGCTTGGATCAGGAAAATATTGGAGTTTTTAAAGAGCATGCCCCTGGTGAGGACGTTGGTGAAGATGGAGAGATAATCATTACAGAACTCACGGCAGAGTTCGAGGGAGCTGAGGCGTTCGATGAATTGGATCATGACAACATTGGAAGACTCAGACAGCATGCTCCTGCAAACATGGATGAAGAGAAAAAAGCATTCGTCACAGAGCCTGCCGGAGACATCGAGGAAGTTGAATGCATAGATGTCTTGGATCAAGAAAATACTGGGGACACTAAGGAGCATGTCACCCTTGGTGTTGATAAAGAGATAAAAATTACCTTCACCGAATTTGAAGAAGATTTATACGGAGGTGAACATTTCGATATCTCGGATTACGAATCAATTGGAGCATTTAAAGATCACGGCCCCGAGAGTGCCGAAGGTGTCTTGGATCCAGAATGCATCCAAGCATTCAAAGACCGTGCACCCGAGAACGTTAACGAACACGCGCATACGGTCAGCGCTGGACTTCCGGAAGACCTGGGGAAAGAAGAGCCCACTGAAGTCATGGATCAAGAAGAAACACATGCATTTAGCCTAAATGACGATGAAATGTTTGATCAAGAGATGGACGAAGGTGTCACAGATTTTCTGGATGCAGAAGAAGGTTCATTTGAAGGTAGAATGGATGAGATCCACCTTGAGCTGGATAGAGAGGCCAGCTTGGGATCAGAGGTTCAATCCGAGGAAGGCATTGACTTTGAAGTGTGGAAGGCGCAGAGAGGATTAGGGGACTTTGCGGAACTGTATGAGCATGACATTTCCCTGGAGGCTGGAGAGTCCATCGAGGACCCGGATGCCTCGCTAATTTCAGTGGAGGACGAGGACTTTGACGATGCCATGGACAAGGAGGTCGAGGAGTACATGGACGCGGAGGACTTTGACATCGCCGCGATGCTTGCCGAGCTCGAGTCGGGCTCTGAGGCCGAGAGGAAGTTGAAGCATCCCGACGTGTACTGCATCACGTGCAAGAAGCCCATCCCGGCGCTCGATAAACTTTTCGGAGATCACAAACACCACAGGGTGACCGCTCTTAAGACGGCCGTGAGACTGATCAAGGTACCAGAGTGTATATTTTAAATTAAACACAAACACCATAACCACTATGACCGCCACCACAATAACCGCAACCACCATGACCGCCACCAAAACCACCAACCAAACACCAACCACGCACCTCCGATTAGCGCGGTTGGCCACGTATGGTGCGAAAGAGATTCAACATGCATACAAACACGCACGCACTGTGCATATGTGCGCACATGCACAGTGCACGATTTACAGTTGGGACATTGTTGGGATGTATCCGAGTGGCCTCTAATGAACGTGTGCGTTGTCCAGGCGGTGCTGAAGGAAAACACCAAGATCCTCATGGAACGGAGTAATGATGTCGTGGACCTTCAAAAACTGCTGTATGAGATCTCAGATTCCTTAGAGGCAAGTACTTTCGTTGCTATGAAATGGCAAAGTCACTGCTATAACAACGCAGTATTAGTACGTTTTCTGTTGGATTTCAATTCATGCTGACCTAACCTTAACCCAGTAAATACATAAATTATTCGCAAATGACAGTTTTTTGTACGTTTTTTTAATATCACTGACCATACAGAAGATACTGTTGAATAATATCAGATACCTTTATGACTGGCTTTTGTGAACTATGAAAGAGCATTTGCTTTAAGATAATACGGATGTTCTCAAGTCCAGCGAGTTAATGGTCGCAGCACAGCCAGCAGTAAGTTGCATGAAACATTTGCACCTCCAATTAGCACGGTTAGCTTCGTACAGTGCGAAAGAAGTTCAACATACATACAATACTGCCCGTTATTTGGCTATTCAGCGCTGTAAGTGCTCATTTGGCAGAGAGGCACAGAATCGCACTAAACCGTCTGCCGAAAATGCTATTTAAAGGTTGCTGTAATGAAAGGTTCTTAAGGTAGCTGCAGCAATGTGAAATATTGTGACGTCACTTTCAAGGTGCTTCCCCACCAATGCCTCTGTTGTTGGAAATTCTAAAAAAGATTGTGAATGTCCCTCTGCCTAGATTTTTTTGCGCATTTTTACACACACGATTGTATTGTCAGTGACTTGCTCACGCTACCACTAGAGGCAACTCAAAAATGTTGTTTAGCCTACTCTGCCACGCTGGTTAGATGTCTTGACAGAGGTTGGAGTACCTACACTTTAACTGACTTTAACTAACTACATGTTGGCCAACTAACAGTACATACAGATGAATGCATCACTCAAATGTTCCCAGAGATGAGTTCACAACCTATTTGCTGTACTGCCATCTCCTGGCAACCGCATAGTCCAGCAGGTCTGGGAGTTTCACAAATTCAATGTTGGATTTCAGACATGAGCCATCACACCCAGCGTTATGAAATGTCAAAGAAAATCAGCGATGTTCGGCATTAAACCTTGAAACTGGAGTGCTCGATAAACTGTACGTTAAGTTGCCAAATTATTCTGCGGGCCTTATTATAAGTGACTTTCCACGCTTTGAATAAACAACTGACCGGTGGTCATGGTCCCATCATATAAACACGCGTGCTTCGTGTGCAGTGCATGGGCACGGCTGTCATGGATCTATTTTGGGCAGACAAAACTCCCACCCGGGCAGTGTGAGTTCGTCCATTCTACGCCCATGACCTATTAAGGGAGGTTAATTTTAGAAATTGTTTAAATATATCAGTTGGCTCTTCATCACTGGCCACTGCTGGACGAAGGCCTCCCCATGGGAGTCTCATGATGCCACAATCCATGGCACTCCTTCACATCAGCTGATCTCACTACTCTATTTCCACCATGGTCATCCTCTGCAGCATGTTTCCTTCTTTGGTTCCGTTTCTGTCAGCAGTCTTGTTCTTTGGACATAGTCACTTATAATCGATGTGTCCTGCCTCGGCCCAATTACTTTCCGGAACCGTTAACATTATCTACTTAATTTGCACGTTTTCCCCGTTCCATGTTCCTATTTCTGTCTGTGAGTGTTGTTCCAAGCATGCATCTCCCCCATGCTTCTTTGTGAACTTTGCAGCCTCTGTTCCGTTTTATTTGTGCATGACCCTGCTTCTGATCAACGTCAGAGCAGGAATGCACTTGATTAACAAACATCTTCTTTTTGAAAGCACCTTGGTATGTTACTTTTTATGATCAAATTCAATTTGACGAAATAACTGTATCCTGCTTTTGTAGACTGCTTTATTTCTGAATTTTTTTATCCACATCCAGCTGCAGTCATTTATCTTTCTTGCGTTTATTTTGAGCTCCACTTCGCATCCCTCTTTGTTAAAGTTTTAATTGATTTTCCATAGGTAACTGGGTTCTTTCCTGTAAATGAAGCTTTTGGTAGGGGAGGGGGGGGACGACGTCAAATGATATTTGTGTTCAAATAAGCATCGGATATTGCTCGTCTCTATTGGTGGCCCTCAGTAGAAGAAATGCCACATTCCTGTGGCCAGCCATACACAGTGCATATAACGTACAGCTTTTCCAGTCCCATCTGTTTGGTAGGAGTTTAACTTATTCCAATTGACTTATTTCAGTTCACAGCGAGATGTATCCGCCTCGTCTTAAGTCACGGTGAGACACGTTGCCCCGTCCTGTTAGTCACAAGCGAGTCCGCTTCCTTTGACCGTCACATGTTTCAAAAACGGTGTCACTCCTTCCAAACGACAACCCGTGGTGGCCCGGGCCGGCGGTGATGGGGGGGGGGCGGTGGCCCGTGTCTCTGCGTCGCAGGAGAACTTCAACGAGCAGGAGCAGGCGATGCAGGAGGAGTTCGACACGCTCATGAGGGTGCTGTCGGACCGCTACGCGGAGCTGTGCGTGCCCCTCGAGGAGGAGAAGAAGGCCAAGCTGGAGGCGCTCTACGAACAGCTGGTGCAGTGCAGGTGCAGCCTCGAGAGCACGCGCGCTCTCATCGCAGAGGCACAGGCGCTGGATCCCGTCGCCGACCGCCTGGGCTTCCTCGTGGTGAGCGAAACTTCGTTTTTATGGCCTGGTGCTCCCGCTGCCCAGATTTGAAGCTTTTTCGTGACCGCAATGATTCATATTCTTTGGTGTTTTCGGTAAAGTCACGTAGGTAAAAAGTTTAAATTAAAATTAATAAAATTTAAAATAAAAATAGCTATCGTGCTGTGACGGTTCCACCTGAAGACGGAGGCTTGTGTTGCCTCCGAAACGTCGTGATTTTTATTTTTATTTTACTTTTATTAATTTTTATTTTTTACCTACGTGACTTTATCGAAAAAAACCTAAGAATATGCTCCCACTACCATTTTATCGCTGTGGGGTCACGGAGAAATTGAAAACATTGCGCAAACATTAATCGATGTTAAATCAACGTCAACTATTAAATTCCGTGCAGCATAAGTCGGGACGGGCAGGTTATTTTCACACCGATCATAGTACAATTACAAAATAATTAAGTTGAAATATGGAATATAATTAAAGTTAACTTAAGTAGGTGTGTAGCCAGCGTGGAAAAGTGAGCCAATTAACCCCCCAGAGGCTCTCAGTTTAATCTAGTGCAGATCCTTGGGCCAGCAATGGTGTGAACAAGCACTTGGTGATTTCGATTTAAAGCTTTCGTGACTGCAGGGATTCATCTTCTTGGTTCTTTCGGTAAAGTCACGTAGAAGGGAAGTAATAAAATAATAAAAATAAAACATAATAAAATAATTCTCACGACGTTTCGGCCACAACGCAAGCAGCCGTGCTCAGGTGAAGAATGGATTGTCAGCCAACCTGAGGACGGCTTCTTGCGTTGTGACCGAAACGTCGTGAGAATTATTGTATTATGTTTTATTTCTATTATTTTATTACTTCCCTTCTACGTGACTTTACCGAAAGAACCAAGAACACTTGGTGATTGTTGTGCCCGTCGCGGAGTTTGTGCGGGCGCGTTGCGTTGGTTGCAATTAAACTGAAGAGCGAGCGTTCATAGTCGTGTGTTAGCGTGGAAAATGTCCTTGCTTCTTCAAAAAATGCTCAGTGAACGTCGAGCTAACGTCAGGATTTCCTTCGCAGAAAAACAGAGAGAGTGGGAACTCGTAAGATTGTTAATTACGTTTGGTAAACTAACGATGATACGCTGTGATACTACAGAATTTTGAGAACATTTGCGATTTAAATTACACTTTACATCCTGTGTTTTGCAACGTGATGTTTTGTAAATAAGGCATCACGCGCAGTTTCAGAACAGGCAAATCCTGTAGCATATGGCATCATATCATTACCATAAAGCGCAGTAATTGTGTTGTTGACAGCATTGGAGAGGCACTGAGAGCAGATCTGCCTTCGCCACACGAACGCGATCGTTATAATTTTGCAATAAACGACGTTGGGTTTTTCGTAAACAATGTTGAATTAACCCATTGTTTTTGTCCCCTTGTGTATTTGAAACCTTTCTGGGTGTCCTAAAGTCTGCAGAAGATCTGAAAGCCAGGTAACGGTATTTATTTTGAAAGTGGCGTATGTGCATGCTATGCATATGGTCAATTATTGCCATCTCGTTAAAACATAGAAACAATGGAAAGTACTATAATAATAGGGTTTTCCCCTTTTTTATGGAAACAAAACTGAAACCTTTTTACGAGAATTCATGTCTGCATTAACCACAATACTTGCAGTCAAAATGCAAGCAAAAACACACTATGATAATATATGCATTGTCCTTGAAACTGATTGGTCCACACACAGGGACGGCTTTCTTTCTTAAGAAAGGGACGACTTCCTTTCTCAAATCAGTTTCAAGGACAATGCATATATTATCATAGCGTGTTTTTGTTTGCATTTTGACTGCAAGTATTGTGGTTAATGCAGACATGAATCCTTGTAACAAAAGGATTCAGTTTGTTGCCAGAAAAAAGGGGAAAACCCCTATTATTATATTTTGTTACTGGCAAAGGAGGTCTAATGATGAAACTGGATAGTACGTTGATAGACCTAAAGAATCCTTGCACGGAGCATCCTAGTGGTTATCTTTCCGTTTCCTGCGTCACCCTCGTGCACGCTTTGACCGTAAACCACGCGAGGTGCACGCATCCCCGATCGTATTTGACGCAACCACTGGGAGATCAATTGGAAATATAAGGCCCCTTGTCAGAGCCCTCTTCATCCTTTAATTTCATTCAATTTAAAGCGGCAGGACCGGCCGTGCATCACGCTTCAAGCCCGTCGTGCTGCATTTATATTAAGTGATTATGAGCGCATAACGAGTCCTGGCAGCAAAGATCCTTTCTTATGTCTGCTTCGTGCATTGCATTTTTCAGTTTACTACATGCCTAGTAATTGGGAAGCAGAGTTTGCAATTAAAAAAAGTCTTAAGTGTAACGTTACTTGCCATACATCCCCGCATGCGATAAATAGGGGTCAAAGTTTTGAGTAAAATCTCACAGCAACCTGTCCAACGTTGAGGCTGTTCAATGTGCCTGCCGTGAGCTAATCTGAAACATGTGCGTTGATATTAAGGGCGACATAACGAGTGTAAATGAGTGTGCGCTATTACCATCGTGTTCTAATCAACGTATCCCTATTCCAGAGACACAACCACGATCCCATCTGCTACTAACCAGCGGTTATGCATAGGGCAGTGAGTTGGTTTGGATGGTTTGCCGACCTCTGATCTCTTTTCGTTACCGCAAAAATTGCGTGGGAATTGTTCTGATCTTCTATTTTTAAATGAAAGAGGAAAACCTATCTGTTGTGTGGTAAACAAATGTAACAAGATTTTAGTCCCTGGCCCATTGACATGTAGCATAGAAATAAGTAAACACGTCATGATTCATCCCAGCAACGATTCATTTGATCCATTCAATTCAAGAATATGTTTCTTTTAGCTAATTTTCTCTTTTATTTGTCCTGTTTCTCGTCGTGTCTCATTTGTATAGTCGTGCTTGCTACACGAATGTGAATTTAACGTGAACATATAATTCGCAGACAATTTGCGTACGTTGTAAATCATCGATTCTTTCACGCGTGATTCAATGCATGCATCGTGAGCAAAATAATCCATGCATCATTACACACCTGATAAGTATAAGACTTGAGAAATATATTTCATACCATTTTGAAGGATTTACCAGCAGATTGTATAAATGCTTTCACACCTGTGCAAGTGCATATGTAAATGATGTCTTCATTGCTAGAAATGATGCTGAATAAAGGATGATGATAATTTATGTTCAGGTGCGTTATACCAACTGTACCTTCGGGCTAAAGTCTCTATGTCTCCTATATTGTTTTATTGCCCGCAGGATATTGCTTTTGGCACACGGCATCATCAACGCCGACTGATCATTATTACAATTGTAATTATATGAACGGCAAGAAATGTGCCATAAGAGCACAAATGGGAATGTTCCTCACGTGACTGGTGACACTGTGGTGGTTCATAATCATCGTTTTTGGGTTTAGATCGCGTTATTTATAAATGTGTCGTAGCCCTCCACCACCCGACACGGCCAATCAACAAAAAAAGTGTCACGTTGACAAAAGACAAATAGTTCACTGCTTTAGCCCACCGGTGTGTTGTAGCGTGAAACCACAACATTTACAATTTACATTGATTTTGAATAATTGGTCGCGAAAGCCTACGTGTTAAACTGACTGTGGTGGTTGTTTGCAGGCTGGATCTTGCATTAACAGAAGGACAAGTCGATCAGTTTCAGCCGAGCGCATCAGCGGAGTTCCAGAACGCGATGCCGGACCTGTCTCACGAGAAAAGCATTCTGGATGAGAGCAGCTGCGTGAGCGGTGAGGACTCGTGCTCATTAAATTTAAGAGGTCCAATCACTGTGTTCACATCCAGACAACTACGGAATCTTACGTGGGGGGATATCCATTTCCATCTCCAAGCACGAAGCAAGATGAAAGCTTTACTCATGTCAGGCTGCTCACAAATGAAAAAAAATATACAACACTGTATATCGGTTTAAAGCTTTCGTGACTGCAGGGATTCATCTTCTTAGTTCTTTCGGTAAAGTCACGTAGAAGGGAAGTAATAAAATAATAAAAAATAAAACGCTGTCGCCTCGACAGACCTGGTTTTGAATGCATTCAGACGCTGTCGCCTCGACAGACCTGGTTTTCACCTGAGGACGGCTACTTGCGTTGTGGCCGAAACGTCGTGAGAATAATTTTATTATGTTTTATTTTTATTATTTTATTACTTCCCTTCTACGTGACTTTACCGAAAGAACCAAGAAGACTGTATATCGGTTTCAGTAGAGATTATCTTGTAAAATTGAGTGACTCATAAGCGCTCTGCTCAGAAATAGTTTGCTCTCTGCAGAGTATGATTGTATAATGAAACAATATTACTGGCTTTAGTGTGCCTCGGAAATGCCGACTTAATTAACGTGGATTTGTAGTTGCTAGATGTCGCCACGGTGAGCACACTGGCCTTGCAATCCCAGTGGCCACCAATTCGATCTCTCTGAGCGTAATTTGCAACAATGGCAAACCTCTTAATTCCAACCCCTACATCTCTGTCCACTCACTAACTGTGAGTATGTCAATGTCAATGTCAGGTTGCACGTGGTGAGGTTAAGTGTGGGTACTTCCACCTCTTGCAGCGTTGAAGAGTAGGCCAAAAATACCCGCTATAGAATCCTGTCACCAGCAGCGGTGTGAGCAATTTATTACTTTTTCCTTTGTTATTATTAACTTCGAGAAAGATCTTCTTGGTTCTTTCGGTAAAGTCACGTAGAAGGGAAATAATAAAATAATAAAAATAAAACATAATACAATAATTCTCACGACGTTTCGGCCACAATGCAAGCAGCCGTCCTGCTTGCGTTGTGGCCGAAGGCTGCTTGCGTTGTCAATTATTTTATTATGTTTTATTTCCATTTTATTATGTTTTATTTACATTCTACGTGACTTTACCGAAAGAACCAAGAAGATGAATCCCTGCAGTCACGAAAGCTTTAAATCGAAATTCGAGAAAGATGTTTTAAATTTACAAATACATTGTTATATATGTTTTTTAAATATCTGGGATAATAAGGTATAGGTGAGCAGTAAACAAATGCACAGGGTTTTTGTGGCAAAATCGAACCAAATTGTCATGGTGATTTTAGTGGAGGGAGTCTTTCTATGATTGGCAAGAGTGGTGGAGCAGCTTCTGTTTACTTTGCAGTCAGTAAAGGTTAGAAAATGTCAGATAGCGCACACGAGTGGAGATGTATTGACACGTGGAAGCACCTCCCAACCCGTTTCAGTATTATACATGTACAGAGATGTGTCAGTGACATTTTCACGCTCAGTATGTCTCTGCAATACCAAGCTTCCACATTGTCGCCTTAAGAACCACAGGTGGTAAACACTTAGTGATAAAAAAAATTTGTTTTACGAGAAGACCTTTGATGTGTCTTGGCATAGAACAGCGGTAAAATTATTCTGTAATTGCTAATGATTACCACGTGCTTTGCACAGAGCAAATGCACTGTGTTTGCTTATGGGCCGCATAATGAGGCATTTGGATTTTAGTAGATCCCAGAGTGCATAAATTATGCAAAATGCAGTGTCACAACCAGGATAACCTCCACGCTAAAATCAATGACCCTCGATACATGTCACAAATCTTTAATATTTATCAATAAATACCTTGTATCATTGAACAGTGGCCACAAGTAACATGGTGGTGAATGGGACATATCTATCTGGCCTAGTGCTCCACATATTAATATGTTTTTCATCAGCGACTTTAAAGCCGAGAACTTCCCCAGCCAGAATTGTCCCATCAACCACCAACAATGCAAATCAAAAGTCGAATCAAAATGCCTCCTTTCTCAAATGCGCAATCGGGCGGCACTCAGCTTTGTTGATATCGCTGAATTAGTGGTGTAAATTCCACATTCTTATGCCAGGACCAGTCTTTGCATAGGACAACCATTGTTGACTTAACGTGTCACTCAATTCATCGAGATGTTAACTACCTCACCCGGTATACAGGAGGTCGTAGGTTCGATCCCGACCCTGATGCCTGTATATTTGGAGTTTGCATGTCTCTCTCCTCGTGGTCACGTGGATTTCTCTCCGGGTTTTCTCTCCACATTTAGAATCAACATGCGTTTAGAGTATTTGACTGCTATAGATTTCCACGTGATAAACCACTTTGTTGAGCCATTATTTGCGGGCAGATTGCTTCTGAAAAAGAGCTATATAGCTCAGTGCGCCTTACCTAGTGAAATCAAAAATAAGTAAAAAATAAATAAAATCAATGACAGGTTGATTCAATGCCCTCGGCCGGGAATTGAACCCGTGAGCCTTCCAAATCGCTAGCCTGGCCCTCCAACCCGCAATGCCACCGGGCCCAATCTGCCCTCCGCCCCCCCTAACCCCACGCACCTGCCAAACACGGTCGCCGTTCCTTGCAGTGCCGTCCCCACCCACGATCCGGCCCCAGGAGCCGGCCGGAGCCACCACCAGCTCCGTGCTGGTGCAGTGGACAGCGGAGCCGGACGACACCGTGGACCACTACAATGTCTTCTACCTGGCGGAGGACGACTTCCAGTGCGAGGACACCGACACGGGTGGGTCGCCCGCGTCGACCTCCCGCGGCGTCTTGGTCCCGTCCTCTCGTTTTTTGTGCAACGTGGCGGGGTGAAGTGTGCGTACAGGAGCCACGGTGGCGAGATGTTAACTACCTCGCGTGGTGTGGAGGAAGTCAGGAGCCCGATCCTGACCCTGATGACGGTATATTTGGAGTTTGCATGTTCTCCCGGTGGTCGAGTGGATTTTTCTCCGGGTGCTCCGGTTTTTCCCTCCACATTTAGAATCAACATGAGTATTTGGCTGCTTTAAATTTCCACACGATAAGCCACTTGGTTGAGCTATCGTTTGTGGCCAGGTCACTTCTGAAAAAAAGAGCTATATAGCTCAATGAGCCTTACATGGTACAAATTTTTTGTTGTATCGATATTTTTTTGGAGTACACGTCTCCGCGCGCGATCTCGCTGCCGTGTGTGGACTGTGGTTGGCGTGCGCAGTGAACGTGAGGCAGGAGGCACGGGAGGACTCCTGCCTCATCGAGGACCTGGAGCCCAACACCTTCTACGTCTTCTGGGTATCGGCCGTCAACACAGCAGGAGCCAGCCCACCCAGCGACTGCGTCACCTACTGCACCGGTGAGGGCACCTCTACAATTGTGTGCATGTATGTATGTTGAACTTCTTTCGCACCGTACGTGGCCAATCGTGCTAATCGGAGGTGCGAGGGAAGGACAACAAACTAAACACAAAAAGCTACTCTAAAGAAACGTGTTTTCAACCCAGATTTGAAAGCGCATAGCTCCAGTGGCTTCCTAGTATCGGAAGGGAGAGCGTTCCAGACGGCCGCAGAAGCGCGTCTGAAAGCGCTCCATGACTGTGATGGTTTAGGTCCCTGACGAGGTCAGCAATTACAAAGATCCCCCGTATAGCCATGCAGACTGTTGGGGCAAGTGCTGTTGGGAACCAACTATGAAGACCGGCATCGCACACGAGCGGGCGGTGTGGCCAGGTGCACGCCCTGCCACCTGTGTCTCCCCAGCGCCGATTTACTCTGTTGAGTAATGTTTCCTTTGTTTTGTTTTGCCAAATATCACACTAGGTGGCAGCATACACTGCGATGTTACATGTTCCATTTAAAAACATGATTTTTTTTTTTACTGTGATGAGGTTTACATGAGTAATTTTTATGCAGTACAGTTGTTGTTTTGCTTGGCATTACATGTGAATGGTCATTGAAGGTAAAATGGCACATTTGAGATGATGGTGTTTTAATGGTTGCATTTGAAACTGTGAATGAATGTCTAATGAGCAGTCTGTTGCCCAAATAAACCCCTTAGGAGTGCTATCATCCACAGCAACATACAAGTATCAAGACGCAAACATGCCCATTAGTCTCAGCTTGGCACACATTCATTTGTAAACTCACGCGCACGCACGCTCACACTCACATCCATTACCCTACATAAACTCTCATGCATGCACATGTGCATTCAAACCCACACCCCGTAGAACATCAATGCAGCCGAACTCTGCAACTTAAAAATAAACCACTTACGCATCTACACCCCCAAACAAGAAAGGTCTTCCTTTCGGCCTGCATAGATTACTTTGGCAAGTGCTGTGAGCGAGCAATTAAGACACCACACAAGGGGGCGTCATAGCCATGAACACTTAGTTGCCTTTAATTTCCATTCATGACGTATGTACGTTGAACTTCATCCGCACCGTACGTAGCCAACCGTGCTAATCGGAGGCGCGCGTGTACGTGTAGTTCTCTTTGAGCTCTCGCTCGGTCAAACGATATCAAATTGAAACTGTCACGCGCGCTCATTTTAGCCCGGATTCCTCCCCACAGTGCCCGAGCCGCCGGTCATCCTGGTCGAGGAGTGCACGGCGTGCATGGACGCAGCCACGATCCGCTGGGACTCGGGCAACGTGACCGCCGTGGAGTCGTACTCGCTGGAGCACTGCATGCAGGCGGAAGGAGACGTGGACGACGACACCTCCGAGAGCCACATCACCAGGTGCGCCTGTCCGGTGGCTCTCTCCGATTCTGTCTTGCTTCGGGTGAGCGCCGCGGTGGCAAGATTAGCACGGTTGGCTACGTACGGTGCGAAAGAAGTTCAACGTAAGTACGTGTTGAACTGCCTCGCCTGGTGTGGAGGAGGTCGTGGGTTCGATCCTGATCTTGACACCTGTTGTATATTTGGAGTTTTTATGTATCTTTCCCTGTGGTCGCGTGGATTTTTCTCTTGGTCCTTTTGTTTATTTATTCCCTCCACGCGATAAGCCACTCTGCTGAGCTATCATCTGTGGCCAGGTCGCTTCTGAAAAAAGAAGCTATACAGCTCCGTGGGTATTAACTGCTAAAATAAAATAAACAGAGGAGAACCAAGGAGGGCAGCGTATTGCTATAGCCCAGCAGTTCATCTTCTTGGTTCTTTCGGTAAAGTCACGTAGAGGGAAATAATAAAATAATAAAAATAAAACATAATAAAATACAATTCTCACGACGTTTCGACCACAACGCAAGCAGCCGTCCTCAGGTGAAGAACCGGGCTGTCGGAAAGACAGCGTGCTTGCGTTGTGGCCGAAACGTCGTGAGAATTGTATTTGATTGTTTTATTTTTATTATTTTATTATTTCCCTTCGACGTGACTTTACCGAAAGAACCAAGAAGATGAATCCCTGCAGTCACGAAAGCTTTACATCGAAAAAAGCCCGGCAGTTGTTTGGAGAAGCGTGATGTCCGACATTTGGAGCCTCTTCAGGGACTGAAGTCGTGAAAATGAAGCTTCCAGCACGTGGAGAAAAACGTTGGACACTGGAGAGATGTACACAGTGTTCCAGATGTCTTGTGACCCACCCACCCCCCTCCCCCCCATTTGATTCTCTAAAACTTAACAATGTTGTATACGAATGGGTGTGAAAACAGAAATGAATAAGCCAAGGAATGTCAGGGGTCAATTAATTGGGGGGGGGGGGGGGGGGGGTCACAAGACATCTGGGCCACCCTGTACAGTGCAGCCGTGAAAACCTCCGCAGTTGTGCCCATCTGGGCCAGCGCAGGATGCTGCCACACGCTTGGCCACGGTGACATGCTGCTGATGCTGCTGCTGCTGCTCCCTTTGTTGGTTCTCTTATGTTTATTTGTTTTATCTTTAACCAGGAGCGCCTCATTAGTAACCCTTTGGAAATGTCATTTTCAATCCAATTAGTACAACCGATTTGACAAATCAGTTCACACGTGCAACTCAAGTTAAAATGATTTGTTTTTCAAAGCCTTGCTCATGATGACTCTGCCTCGATGAAGTTGGTGTTTTATTTAAAACTGGTTCATGCAAAAAGTGTACGTGAATCTTAAAGCCTTTTGGAGGTACGGTTGAACAAACCACCCATCACCAAAACAAATTGCGTTGGGAGGCCTTCATCCAGGACTATATTGATAAAGGGATGTAACTTGTAATCATACGCATTGTTTCACAGATGGTTAAGGTACTCACATTGACAATCATAAGGAAATCCTCTACGGATGATAAAGGCAGAAGTCAGACCACTATATTAAAGGAAATGTGGATAAGCAGACTCTGGAGAAACATGTTGCTACTTGTTTTGATTTTCCCAAGATCATCCCCTTTTTGAGTGCACCATCCTAGTAAATCTGTAATTTTTCCCAGGACACTGAAAGTCCTGTTTCTCTTCAGTTACATCACAACAATGCACCACTGTAGACAATGCATGTACACGTAGTCCTCCCCTCTCCCGCTATCGTGGGCTATATTCCTCTTCCCACGATGTGTTTCCCGTGCCACCTTTCACGCAGGTGCATCTCGGGCATACGGGACTGCGAGTGGGTCGTGAGGCTGCAGCCGGGGCAGACGTATGCCCTGTACGTACGTGCGGTCAACTCGGCGGGGCCCAGCCAAAGGTCCGACCCAGTCCTCATCCGAACCAAAGGTACGTGACTATTCAGAGCCTACTTCCCGTGTTGGTGGAAAGGCAGAATCTGCCAATTGCACTGGTCAACACACTTTTTTCTGGCATAAGGTATTCCAACGGTTTTAAGGTAATTTTGGGGTGCTGATTCCAAATCTGGCATCAGTTTTTGTCTATCACATCAGGTATTTGAGATATTAAATATTGCAATTTCAACAAAATTTGCAGAAGAAAAATATTAAATAAATGTGGATATCTACATAAACTGATACTATAAACACACTATCCTAAAAATACAGCACCATATTTTAACACTAAAGCAGTCACTGACTCGCAACAACTTGCAATCATAAGTGACAGAGTTAATTTCGGGTAAAATCAGTGAAAATGGGGTATGCCGATAGCATAAAAATGAGATGTGATAGAGCAAATCTAAGATCAGATTTTGAATCAGCACCCTGAAATATGTCTAAAACAGCTGCAAAAGTCCAGGCCAGAAAAAAATGTTTGTTTTTTGTTGACCAGTGTTGTTGGTAAGGGGCATAAACCATCACACAAACTCCGGTCATCCTCCCAGCAGGGGCTTTTGGCTAAGCCATTGAACAAAGACGGTCACCGCATCACGCGTTTTCAGATGCGCTTCTGCGGCCGTCTGGAACGCTCTTCCGATTTTAAGTAGCCACTGGAGCTATGCACTTTAAAATAATCTAGATTGAAAACTCATTTATTTAGAAATGCTTTTTGTGTTTAGTTTGTTGTCCTTCCCACGCACCTACGATTAGCACGTGGTACTATGTACGGTGCGAAAGTTCAACATACGTACATACAGAGCAAATGTTACGGTACAGATCACAGATAAATGGCTCTGGAATGTATTTGAAACACACAATTTGGAATGGGGTGGAGTGACGGCGCTGTGGTTACCCCACTCTGCTGAGAACCTGTGAAACTTGAGTTCGATTCCCCCGGCCATGGATAACTTCAGTGGTGAGTGATACACAAACATCCCCCATATAGCTTAAACAGACTGTTGGGGCAAGTGCTGTTGGCGAGCACCTATGAAAGCCAGCACGGCACACGAGGGGGTGAGTGGCCAACACCGCGCCCGGCCGCCTTTGTCTCTCAAGTGGCCATGTCCACACATTGCTCCAGCTACTCAATTTAGGCTGAGTCGACCTAGGGGAGGCCCAGGACCGATTCGAATTTAAAAAAAAGTCCTGTATTTTGATGTTTGGCCAGTTATATATGTAGTATTCTACATTTGCGAAGTAACCCGAGGTGCTTGGAAAAACCTATATCTAATAATGGGACAAACCCTAATAATACCGTATTTGCGGATAGATAAGCAGCCAATTCTAGATTTGAAGCTTTCGTTGACTGCAAGGATTCATATTCTTAGGTTGTTTCGGTAAAGTCACATAGGTAACATTTTTAAGTTAATAAAAGTAAAATAAATAAAAAATCACAAGATTTATAAGGGCACCTGAAGACGGAAGCTTGTGTTGCCTCCGAAAAGTCGTGATTTTTATTTTATTTTCATTTGACTTTTATTAACTTACATTTTTTACCTACGTGACTTTACCGAAAAAACCTAAGAATATAAGCAGCCAACTTGCATCATCGCCATCTACTGGGTGTAAAGATCTCATCATTCACAAACCCCGCACAGACAACCACTGAAGTATAGACATGGACCACGGTGAATGGCAACATGACCCACCGTGCGACTCAGCACTCATGCATGGCTGCTTGGATGAATGCTCTTTAAAAATACACATTGTTTTTAACCACCCCATGCATACCTGTCAACACATACGGTTTAGCCGTATTCTTGTACAGGGAAATTAAGTTTCCAGGTCCATACGGCGTACAGACGTTTTCAATGCGGGCTAAAAAAGAATGCCTATTTGTCTGTGTTTCTCCCTTGTGATGCGAATTTGTAGGATTAACTTTCAGATTTATAAGGGCACGGGGTGACCAATAAGGTCTGAATTGGTCTGTAATAAGGTAGCGGCACTGATAAGGGGTTGACAGGTTTGCCCATGTGACCCAGTGGAGTCAGAGGCCAGTGGAATCACCCACCAGCTTCCGCAACGGTCTGAAATACTGACCGTTATTAATTTTTTTGACGCGAGTCTCTTTGCAGTGGCAGAGGGGAATCGAGGCACGGTGTCATCTCTGAACACGTCTGCGTAATGCAGCGCGATGCTTCGCAGACAGACGTTGAGGGGAGAAATAATAACGCATGAAGGGAGTGAAGATGACACCTCAGTGCCGGGCTTGAAGGGCATGCCAACAGCACGCTGGCAGGGGATGCTGATGTGATGCTTGCGGGGGGTGGGTGGGTCTTGTGCTTAGGTTCATCCGTGCGTCTCACTCGGGAGCAGGGAACTCCTCTTTTGTTGACCACTGCCATGAAGCGACTTCCACTCTTGCTTGGTAGCGCTCAACCGGGCTGTGTCCGATAACGGGATTAGTTGGAAACGTATCGGGCTTTGTCGTCTGCGCTCAAATATTTTTCTTAACGCTAGCATCTCTGGCACTTGAGGTTTATCCGTGTTGTCACGTTTACTCGTGAAGTGTGTTTTTTTTTAGAAAGTGCACACGGCTGCGTTCCGTGCATTTAAGTCTCGTGTGTTGCAGGAAGGGAGTATTGGTTAACACACACTCTGCAATGATCCCAACAATCTGGGTTTGATTCCTAACTGGGGGATAAGATCAGTTATAAGTGGTGTCTGATCTTGGGGATAAGATCAGTTATAAGTGGTGTCTGATCTTGGGGATAAGATCAGTTATAAGTGGTGTCTGATCTTGGGGATAAGATCAGTTATAAGTGGTGTCTGATCTTGCGGATAAGATCAGTTATAAGTGGTGTCTGATCTTGCGGATAAGATCAGTTATAAGTGGTGTCTGATCTTGCGGATAAGATCAGTTATAAGTGGTGTCTGATCTTGCGGATAAAATCAGTTATAAGTGGTGTCTGATCTTGGGGATAAAATCAGTTATAAGTGGTGTCTGATCTTGCGGATAAGATCAGTTATAAGTGGTGTCTGATCTTGGGGATAAGATCAGTTATAAGTGGTGTCTGATCTTGGGGATAAGATCAGTTATAAGTGGTGTCTGATCTTGGGGGTAAGATCAGTTATAAGTGGTGTCTGATGTTGGGGATAAGATCAGTTATAAGTGGTATCTGATCTTGGGGATAAGATCAGTTATAAGTGGTGTCTGATCTTGGGGGATAGATCAGTTATAAGTGGTGTCTGATCTTGGGGATAAGATCAGTTATAAGTGGTGTCTGATCTTGGGGGTAAGATCAGTTATAAGTGGTGTCTGATCTTGGGGATAAGATCAGTTATAAGTGGTGTCTGATCTTGGGGATAAGATCAGTTATAAGTGGTGTCTGATCTTGGGGATAATATCAGTTATAAGTGGTGTCTGATCTTGGGGATAAGATCAGGTATAAGTGGTATCCGATCTTGGGGATAAGATCAGTTTTAAGTGGTGTCTGATCTTGCGGATAAGATCTGTTATAAGTGGTGTCTGATCTTGGGGATAAGATCAGTTATAAGTGGTGTCTGATCTTGATCTAGGCCTCTGCATTCTGTCTCCGCCGTGCACTGTGTTACTTTGGCAGTGTTGACACGAGGCCCTTTTAAGCGATGGGTCGTCAGGGATGGAAACGAAGACTCACAGCATTGTCTATTTTGAGATGAGTGCGTGCGGTTGACGGGATGTACCGAACACCGTTATTGGCAGCCTGGTGGCATGTTCCACATTCGGCTATAACCCCCCCCCCCCCCCGCATCTTACCGTTGCTGCGGGCGCTTATGCGCTCACCGACCCCACCAACACGCAGACACACGCACACAGCCGCCTTTGTGGGTTACGGATTTGCACCAAGAGTGAAGATGCCTATTCTTAGGTTTTTTTCGGTAAAGTCACGTGGGTAAAAAAATTTTTTAATTAATAAAAGTGAAATAAAATAAAAATCACGACGTTTCGGAGGCAACACAAGCTTCCGTCTTCAGGTGGAACCGTCACAGCCACGACAGCTGTGTCAAGTAAATGAGAGATTACAAGAGCTACCACTCCGTATATATAATGGTTGAAGAGGGGAAGGGCCAAGTACGGCACACTTTTTATTAATATGGTAAGGTGAGGCTTAAAACCTAAGAACAGTGAATCCTTGCAGTCACGAAAGCTTCAAATCTAGAATGGAGTGAAGATGCCCTTCGAGCACGCAGTACCAACGCCAGCCGCCCCCACGCTCACTCCGTATGCTCATCCCAACACCGAGCCCCCCCCCACCCCCCGAGCACACGGCGTGACAGCCTATCTGCGAGGCCCATCTCCTTCCGATCTGCGACACCGATAGAGGGGTAGTAGAGCTGCCAATCCTCGTCAGAGTGACTTCCTTGACGAGGGAGAGTGTCTCCGTCCGCTCGCGGGGATGTTTGCACCTCTGTCTCTATTGTGGGTAAGCCCTGATCGGATGTTACGCCGCGCTTTAAGGTCTGGTTTTTTGAAGGCTTATGAGCGATGCGAGGTCAGGTCTTCGGCACCGCTTATCATGATGGGTCCACAGAGCAGATCAAGACGTTTTAGAAAGTGCAGTCTATCGGAGCTCGATTCAACAGACATGTAATCTGGTACATATTGATCCATGGGATTAAGGTGGGAGGCTCAGGGAGCTCGTGGTGTATATGCACTGAGCCAGTACTTCTGAGAAAATGTATTTGAAACACACAGCCGCGTGAGATTGTGAAATTAGTTTGCGAGTGCAGTACATTCATGGTCTCAACCCAATCGCCATCATGTGCATTTAGTCCTTCACTCAGTTTGACCCAGCCCAGCTCTGATGGCTACATCTTCTAAAGTATATTAGATCATTGGCAAGTGGCACAACACTCTTTTCAGAGGATTAAATCGTTTGGTAAGAGATGCCTGTTGCAGTGACTCCTGGTTCTGTGGTGTCATCTTTGTAATGCCGTTTTCCTGACATGACGCTCTGCTAACGGTGAAAATTCCAGTAGAATGTGTTATTTTTGTTTGTAATCAGCGTGTACTATATGCTATGATAACATATGGTTCAGAAACATGGGCATTTATAACAAACAAATACATATTGAAAATTGTGCAAAGCAGCATGGAGAGATGTACTACATTGCAACACAGAAAGATGAACAAGTGGATTAGAGAACATATGTAGGTTATGAACATCATCCAAACTATTAAGAAACATAAGTGGGCTTGAGCAGAACACGTCACGAGAGCGGAGTGGCAGTTTAAGCCTGGAGCACGACTGAGAGGAAAACTACCAGGGAGATGGAGCGATGAAATCAGTTCGTGTGTAGGTGCTGGATGGATTGTGACATTGAAAGATCGTGAGAGGTGGTGACAGATTATGGAGGCCTTCATCCATGATGATGATGATGAACATAATTCTGACATCACAACGTGGAAATAATTGGAAACAAAACTCCATATGGTTAATGTCATACAATAATCATGATCAATACTGACTTCATCTCAGAGGTGCAGTCTGCCATTAACTGATACCTGACCCACTGACTTGTGCAAACAGCATTGTTCGGAAGCTGCTTTAACAGGGACATCCCACTACTTCTGGCCATGCAGGGACCCAATTCCTGCTGAGGAAGGAGTCCGCTCACCCAAGACTAATCATCTCCGAGGATGGAGCTGTCATCGAGTATGACGGGCGAGAGGATGAGTACCTGGACCCCAACCCAAACCGATTCTCCAGGTGAGGAGGCCGCACCCTAGCAAGGGCCTCAGCTTGGCCAGGCCTCAGCTTAGCCAGGCCTCAGCTTGGCCAGGCCTCAGCTTGGCCAGGCCCTCTGTACAGGGACTCTCGGACCCCCCAAGGGCGCAGTTGGGTAGAGGTATCTCTGTTACAATTAGTACTGGTAGGAACCTCCTGGTTACACCAGCCCACAGGGGATTATTGTGTCCGTCGTGCAGGGAGGGGCTGGGTGGGGAGGGAGGGGCTGGGTGGGGAGGGGAGGGTGGGGAGGGGCTGGGTGGGGAGGGGCTGGTTGGGGAAGGTGGGGAGGGCCTGGGTGGGGAGGGTGGGGCTGGATGGGGGGGGGGGGGCTGGGTGGGGAGGGGCTGGTCACCCCGTGGTGCCCTTATAAAACTCAACGTTTAACCTACTCACGCCGGCTTGTGCCCGCCCTCACAGTCGGGCATATTTGCGGAATATACCACGCCGCCGTTGACCCAGGCCATTGACCGAGCAACCCAACGTTCCTACCAGCTCCCTCCGCAGGAATGTGTTAAGTATTTAGAAATTAATTTATTAAAACCGATTTGTTACACTCATGATTCATGCATTAGCTTTTGGCTAGTCATTCAACAAAGATGGTAAGACGATCACTGCATCGCACGCTTTTAGATGCGCTTTTGTGGCTGTCTGGAACGCTCTTCCTTCCGATATTAGGAAGCCACTGGAGCGATACACTTTTCAATCATCTAGATTGAAAACTCATTTTTTTAGAACTCCTTTTTTTGTTCGGTGTATTGTTCTTCCCCTGCACCTCAGATTATCACGGTTGGCTACGTACGGTGTGAAAAAAGTTTAACATACATACTTAATAATATATTATTTTGAAGTGATGCAACGTTTATGCAGATTATGCCATTTAGACGAATGGGTCCGAATGAATGGGAGAGAATATCAAGAGGGTACAAATAACACGGACACAAACAGACGAGATGGTACAGATGTGATAGACAGTGCCGGCGATTCAATGCAGATGAGAAATACAATACAGGTGAGGCAGTACAGACATTACAAACTACAATCGAGCACCTGAATTTTGATGAATTGTTACATGCTGAGCCCATTTTAAGAATGCTGAGTTGAAATATGTGGAGTGAAGGGTTACTCGCACAGGCTGTGGTTACCCCCACATTTTGTTGCAATACGCGGAGCTGTGGTTAGAGCACATGATTCATGGTTGGAAGTGCTTGGGTAGGCGACCACAATGCTTAATACAGTTGTCATAGACTTCCGCTGGACTAACCTGTATGCAGAGTGCAGTGCAGAAATGTATGTATGTACGTTGAACTTCTTTCGCACGGTACGTAGCCAACAGCGCTAATCGGAGGTGCGGAAGATCCATTGCTGTGGTGCGTTATGCCCCAACTCGTATGCACTTCCTGCCTGCACTGACCCATACTGACGAGCTTTGTGAAGCATGGCAATCATGACCTCAGTGGCCTACACAACGTGGAGAGGCCCTCGCCCAGGGAGTGGATTGATGAGAGCAGGGACGCAATGACCTACTTCAACGGGGTGGCTATGCAAGATGCGACTCACTTTTACTGAAATAGCTACGGATGTTTTTAAACCCGCATACAATCATATTTGAGGTTATAGCTATGTATATTTATTATTTTAGTTGCACCGTGTATTGGGTTTCAGAGGAAGACAGTCTCACAGTGACGTTATTGATGAAAAAATGTAAAGGTACAATTCTCACAATGAAGTTATCATGCGTCTTGCTTTCATGCGCATGTCAGTGAGCAGAGAAACCTGGTGTTCAGTAACAAACGTCAGTAGCGTTACTACATTTTACGCTGTGTGTATTTTTCGGAAGAGTTTATGAGCGGCTTCCGTGACACGTCGTGTAGAGGGTATTCACATTCGGGCACACCACCTTATCCTCTTCCTTCTTCGAGTACACACGTAGATATTAGCATCCCTACAGGCTACTACACGTGGTCGATCCCACAGCGTGGTTCCGTCCGCCCACGGCGAAGGTGGTGGGACGTCGCAGGAGATGTGCCACGTGGCCGAATGCCGGAGAGAGATGACGGCAAGCAACGACGCAGTCCGGACCCAAGGCTCCCACACCGACCACGAGTCCTTCTCCGCTTATATTGCCGCTAGGCTCCGCCTCCGGCCACGCCCTATCGTGGAACCTTCTAGCCAGTTCCCGGAGTATCTCGGCCAGCCCCGCCCTTTACCTTTGGCCCAGATACCTCTCCCTTTGGGATTGGATGATGTTTAGAGTGGTGGCTGTACCCGTGCTTCCCTTTTCCAACCAGTAGATGTCACTATGTCATTACAGAAGTATAATTTTTTTTTGTAACAATGTTTTTTGGTATTTATGGTCAATTGTTGGAATTTTTTTTTATTCTTTTCATTCAACTTTTTTCTACACATTTATCTGTTGATTCTAATTGGGCCCCTAATATGCGCGCATAACGCTGCTACACATACCCCCCCCACCCCATAGTTGCACCCCTGGACGAGAGAGCCGTATGTCTACCTACCTACGTATGTGTACCTACCTACGTACATGTACCTATCTGCAGGTGCATGGCGGTGCTTGGGGAGCTGACTCCGTCGCGCGGCCGCCACTACTGGGAGGTGAGCGTGGGCGAGTGCGAGGGCTACCGCATCGGTGTGGCGTACCCCGACACGCCGCGCGACGGCCTGCTGGGCCAGAACGACTCCTCCTGGTGCATGCGACTCGTCTGCACGCCTGCCAGGTGATGGCCCACAAGAGGAATGCAACACATTACATGAAAAATATGGAGATCCCCCCCGTCTCCTATAGTTTGACGTAGACTCTCGCGACCAATGTTATTCATAATAAAGTTCGTTTTGGGTTATATCGCGTATGTATGCGTCGTTCAACCAGCCACCACTCGACACAGCCAATGTTTAAGGTTTATCACGTTAACAAAATGTGCCAATTAGTTACTAATTCAGCACACCGATGTGATTACGACGTTTCGCTGGTGAGTACCACCAGCTTGATCAGGCGATTTGCCACAATTGTGAAGAAGTCTTCCTGTTTCCGGCTTTTGTTTACGTGACAAACCTTATTAATTGTCTGCGTCAGGTGGTGGTGGTGTTTCAACGACACATATATTTATGCGATCTAACCCAAAAAATCCCACCCACCCCCCCATAACTTTGCCAGACTGCTGGTGGCAAGTGGCCATTAGCGAGTGCCTGTGAAGGCCGAAACGGCACACGAGGGAGTGGTGGTGTAAGCATTTTTGTTCATTGTTTCTCAAGAAACCCACAATACGGCGGGAACATCACAAGGAGAGAGAAACAACAACATCTAGCATATAAAAGGCCAGACATAATGCTCCCCTCATAATTACGGAATGAACGAGGTCATTCGGGCTCACCGCTCTACCTTGTTAGGGGAAACGATCAGGAACAGCGTGTTTAAGGGGGAGGAAAGAACATGAAAAGTTTGGGGAGGGGGGGGGGACAGCAACTTTGATTTGTATAAAAAAAAACATTAGCATCACAAGTTACATGACTCACTACCACCACCACCACCTCCTCCCACCGCCTCCCCCTCCACATCTACGGATGCCACAGGCACAAGTACGAGTTCCTGCACGCCAGCCGCACGCCCGACATCCGCACGACTCTCGTGCCGGCCCGGATCGGGGTGCTGCTCGACTTTGACGCGGGGCGGCTGGCGTTCTTCGACGCCGAACGAGGGCAGCTCCTCTTCAGCTTCCGGCAGCGTCTGCAGGGTCTCCTGCAGCCGGCCTTCGCGCTCGATCAGCCGGGCATGCTCGTCCTGCACACGGGCCTGGCACCGCCCGCCGGCCTCGCCTACTGCTGAGTTTCTTCGGTGCTTGGTGTGCCGGTGACGCATGTGGGGTTGCCACCTTTCCCCGGGGTTATAATTTTTATTCTGGGATCGTCCCGTTTTTTGAGGGAGCTGTCCAGGCAGGAGGTTGACTAGTGTGTGGTGGGGGGCATGGGAGGGGGTGCCTTGGTCCACACCCCTCCCCCCTGGTTGCCAAAGCTACGAGTTGAGCCCCCCTTGACAACCACGATTAGACAACAGTGTAAAAGAACAAAACAGGTATGTGAAGACGTATTAGGCAAGATGATCTGCGATATGTAGCCTCGGTACGACCGTGCGAGACAAATAAAATATTGGGGTCCCATCCGACAGACTGCCGCACTCCCCTGAGCTGATAATGTCGTTACTACGCCACTGTCTCCTGGGAAATCTCCTAAGCCTTCTCAGGACATTGAATGTCGTGGCTTTGTCAGTGGCGTAATGATACACCACTCAAGACAACGCATGCACGTCAGGTTTCTTCCCTTTTTCAGTATTGCGAGATATTCTTCCTCCCGTGACATGTCTCGGTTTGTTTTGTACCTCAGAGGTGACAACCCTGGTGGCACTATACTTTTTACAGTTGGCGGGTTTGAGTCACTCAGCCACGCCATCTGCAGAGGCCCGGATCAATCTCCAGAAACCAAGGATGGCACATCAACTGCAGCAGTGAATTGTGCGGTGGAGTTGAGTCAATCTGTTTTCTTGGTTCTTTCGGTAAAGTCACGTAGAAGGGAAATAATAAAATAAATAAAATAAAACATAATAAAATAATTCTCACGACGTTTCGGCCACAATGCAAGCAGCCGTCCTCAGGTGAAGAACAGGTCTGTCAAGACAGACTGTCTTCTCGACAGACCTGTTCTTCACCTGAGGACGGCTGCTTGCGTTGTGGCTGAAACGTCGTGAGAATTATTTTATTATGTTTTATTTTTATTATTTTATTATTTCCATTCTACGTGACTTTACCGAAAGAACCAAGAAGATGAATCCCTGCAGTCACGAAAGCTTTAAATCGAGAGTCAATCTGGTTAAAGTCTAGCCTTTCCCTTTTGCTGTTCCTGCCAACTCTGCTCCTGCCACCATCGTGGTCATTGGCTGTCAAGAATAGCTACTTGTCTTTGCTCCACGTCCTGTCCCTGGGATGCATTTCATATAACTGCTTCCCTGTTGGGGTGGAAACAAGAATCCGCTATGCTTACTCAGACAGTTTGGCTTTAGAACTACTGTCTTTCATCCTGATATAATCTGACTCAATTCAGACGTTTATCAGCCTCACTCTCCAAATAAAATCTGTCTTTATTACTGGCTGCTTTGTATTGTTCAGACTAAAGCCTCTGCTTAGCAACTGTGATATAAAATATGCAGGTGACTCGTTGATAATTGGAAAGTGGAGGCAACATGTAATATTAATATTGCACCAGTGCAGGGAAGAAGCATAGAAATACACCATTGGAACTTCATTTGCCAGTAAAAAATATGATAATTGTTTTTTTACCCTTCTATCTGGCAACAAAACTGACACCTTTTTTTAGGCTAGGCTCTAAGGAAAGCTGTCTCGGGTGTGGACCAATCAACTTCAAGGACAGTACATACATTATCAGAGTTACGTGTTTTTTTTGTTTGCATTATGACTGCAGGTATTGTGGTCTATGCAAACATGACTCCTTATAAAAAAAGGTGTCAGTTTTGTTGCCAGATAGAAGGGTAAAAAACCAATTATCAATTATCAAGCATAGATTTGTTTTTTTATTATTCATCCGGTGGAGGAAGCTCTAAACAAGCCCATTGTTTTTGCATTTCAGATATTCAATGAATCCATGAGCGTGTATTATCCAAGACAATAAAACCCCAAGTTTCAGTTTTTGTTGTCATTATTGCCGCCACCATTTGCCAACAGCAGAATCGTTTATGATGGGAGCCACAGAAATCACTTTGCTGGTAAGCACCGGCAATTGTCTACGTAGCCCGTGTGAGCTCACCCGTGATTAATCGCGCGTATAATTGTTCACTCTGTAGCATATGCGAACCTAATAAACCATTTTGCATAGCTGCGGAGAGCTAGGGGCGTTTTTTTGTTATGATGATTATTATTCTGAGTGAATGCAACGGTGATCGGGGTTTGGACCCAGAGCCCCACGTGCACAGCAGGGTACGAGTCACGTCCCCAATTTAGATTTGGGTGGACTTGGTGCTGAGGAATTGAGCTGAGGTGCTGTGACGTGGAGGGTTTTTGTGATCGCGATTGCAGATACGCGTTTGTCCTTCTCAAGAGGACTTTTGAAATAAAATGTTGCCGTTTCGCAACCCCCCCCCCCCCCCCCCCGCTTGTGTGAAGCTGTTGTGGAGTCGCCCACTTCTCAGGAAGACAGAACACAACACAAAGACTCTACTCATCGTCTCCGAACTGAATCATTAGTGTCGTCTAATTCGCCGATCTGTACCCCACCCCTCGCTCCTCGCAAGGATTGGTGACGTTAGGAGAGAGGGGACAGGCCGACACGGCGAACTGGCTACATCTATCAAAAATAAAACAATAAAATCACGACGTTTCGGAGGCAACACAAGTCTCCGTCATCAGGTGGGACTTACATCTTGAATCCCTCCCTCACTTGATGCAGCAAATCTGGCTGTGACGGTCCCACCTGATGACGGAGACTTGTGTTGCTTCTGAAACGTCGTGATTTTATTGTATTATTTTTATAAATTTTAATTTCAATTTTTTACCTACGTGACTTTACCGAAAGAACTAAGAGTATGAATCCTTGCAGTCACGAAAGCTTCAAATCTAGAATTACATCTATTAACTTTGGTGGGCACAGCCTCCGTTCCCCTCCGCTGAAAAACTCCACTTTGCATATGGTTTCCACCTTGTCCTGGTTTGCCCAGGATTGTCCTCTGCTAAATCTGTACATTTCTCTTGGACAATTACAAGGCCTGGTTTTGTTGTGTATCCGTACAAAACTCAAGACATATTTATATGTAGCCCCCCCCGGCCCTCTTCCTGTATTGTGAAATATTATTCGTTCCTTGATATGTTTCAGTTTTTTTGTACTGCAGAGGTGGCAATGCGAAATTCGTTTCGGCAGACCCACGGCCAAACAGAACAGCGCTGCTGGGTGCCTTTCAAGAGGCACCCAATCGAGAGCAGTGCAGAGGTCAGAGGGCAGAGACAATGTAGGACAGCTTATGCCTCTCCTTTGAGCGCAGCTCTGCAGCTGTGCCACTTGTTTCTATACACCGCTTTATTTAGGCAGCAAAGCCTCACTGGATCTTAAGGATGCAGGTTTTTCTCGGTTTATGCGGGTCCGGTTGGTGCAATTTAGCGTATATGCGGCTAACCTAAAATCCGCTATATGCGGTTTTAATCCACTCAAATGCGGCAATGCGGTCGGACGTGCAACAACATCGCGTGTGTACTGTGTGCGCGACTCGGCAAGCGGCTGTCTTGTGTGGTTTTACATTGTGCGCCCTCGTTTTTCGAACGCATCTACCGCGTAAAGTGAGGGACACCTATGTTTTAACTAGGGCCCCACCTTCGATGTGTTCACACTTCCGACAGACCTGTTCTGCACCTGAGGACGGCTGCTTGCGTTGTGGCCGAAACGTCGTGAGAATTATATTGTTATGTTTTATTTTTATTATTTTATTATTTCCCTTCTACGTGACTTTACCGAAAGAACCAAGAAGATGACTTCCAGAGTACTCTTTACGCGTGGAATAAAACTGGAGTACCTGGAATGTCTCACTTATAGGGGTTGTTACGTTTAAAAAAAGAAGTCTGCACACCCAGGTGAGTAACCTACTTGCATCACTGCCTTGTAGAGGCTAGCTCAGATCCACTTCAGTTGAGTGGCTAAGGACACGGTGATATTTGTGTGATGCACCAACCCAGCCTCTAAATATTGCCATTAGAATTGCTTTGGCTACCAGTCATCACCACGCCTATCAGCATGAGACTTAGATTAAACAGTTGCATAAGCACCAACATTACAAGTGTAGGTTTTAATTATACCGTTGCACACAATATACTGCCGTTTTTATTTGGAAACAAAATTTTTTTTGGGAGTAGTCGTCTGTGTATTTGCTTCGCATTAATATTGCACAGAAAAGCTTTTGTGGAATTTAAGTACTTTCGCGATCGCATTGCATAAAAAATGCAAGCCACTTTTTCTCCCGTGCGTCAGAGCGTATTGGTGCCACCGTGTATAATGGCATCGTGTGAGTCGGATGCAATATTTTTTTAAAGAATGCTTTCAAAGTCTATTTTCGTCGATGACGGCAGCGACACGTTTATGGGCTTAGTTTAATGGCTATTGTGTGCCTCTGTCACAGTGAGCTGAGTGCTTTCTTCTGTTTTATGATAAACTAGCTGTACTACCCCTGGGACTTGGATTCACCACACCCGGCCGCCTTTGTCTCCCCTGTGGCGATGTTCACACCACAACAGTTACTCGTTCGAGGCTGAGTCGACCTAGGGGAGGCCCAGGACCGGTTCAAATAATCGTCACCGGTGGTGGCCGTGAGCGGGAATCGAACTCGGGTCGCCGGGTTCGTAGCGCGGCGCGCTAACCACTACACTACAATGCGTTACGCTTCCACGTGCGCGGGTCACGTGACAGATTTGACGTCACAGCTCACTTGCTGTGCAAAAAATATATGCATTATTGAGCTCCCCCCCCCCCCCCCCCCAAAAGTGTATTTTTATAATGTTTGCATAGTGTACAGTCTGGAAAGTACCCACATGGCAAATTTGCAGTTTGTTGCATGTCGGGAAATACGCTAAACATTTTGAACAGACACACATATTCACAACTTTGCCTTTTATAGATATGGAGATGTATGGGTGTATAGACATTTGTCTGTGTAGTTGCAGGGCGGGCGCAGACGGGGGGGGGAGTCCAAAGGTTTTGAGAATTCAAGAGTGAATGTTGTACCACCTGATTTGTTGGTCTTGGTTTTAATTCCCAGCTTTGCTACTCATCACACAACAACGTTTTAATAAATGTTTTTTCCTAGTTCATCAGAGTACAGCGGCACATTAAATACGCACTACAATGACAATAGTTTTAAGCGGTTTGAAGCATGTTTTATTTGGGGGGGGAGGGCAGAGCTTTGTGACGTCATATTTGAGGGGGGTCTGACTTTTTGTGACGCTGTGTGACGATTGGGGAGGGCGTCAAAAATCGCCCAAAATCGCGTGACATCATTTATGGACGGCCCCTTGCCTTACTACACGTAATGAATGCCATCTAGGGTTCTGTGATTATGACGTTTAGAAGAAAATCCCACCGTGCCGAGTTGATGAACACAAATTTGTAATTGCAATACTGATGATGATAATTGTACTGCGTACATTGGTCTGCGTACACTGGACGAGGGTTTCACTCGTGGGTCTGAGGACGTTCAGGCTCAGAGGCCTTGGCTGACTTGCATCTCTCTGAGTCTTTTCATTTGGTTGTTTTCTTGACACAAGTGCCGTACGTACCATATTGAGGGTAACAACCAGGAGTAATGTAAGCTTTTTTTTAATGGTAGACTATTAACAAAATTTAGAGTGTAACAAAAATAATTCAAAGTACCTCCTCACTCAAATTATCATTGAGTGACGTTCATCTCCGTTGGTAATCCTTAGTCAATAATACAAATTCCACATTCCAGTGGCTGCAGAAAATGTTGCATATAGCAGATAACGACTATGGTGTGTGTACATCGCACATACGGTTTAAAAAAAAGCAGTGCTGTGATTGTCCACGCGCGGTCAAATTACAGAGAGGAATTCAAAGATTCAACAGGAGTGTGTGAAGTTGAAATTCAATACTCTATTTTAAATCGGCCTAGCTCCATGTAATGAGCCATTTTCTTTGAGCATTGGCTTTGTATTAGCGTGTAATGTAATATCCAAACTGCCATCTCAAGTATTGTATTGAAGAAAAACCCTGGCTCTAAAAATAGTCATTATAGGCAGTGTTGGGAATAATATCTTATTGTTATCAGATTACCAAAGGCGGGTACCCCTGTTTCTGTACTGAGTGTTTCTTCACCACGACTTCTCCTAACTTGCACGTGTTCTCTAATCCATAAGTGCGCTTGGGCAGGGGACATCGCCAGAAGGAACGATGGCTGTTGGTCGAGACTAACGACGGAGTGGCAGGCAATGAAGGGAACAACGCTCGATTGGAAGTTCACTGTGAAGCAGCGATGACGTTAGTTCATCTGTGAAACGACTGAACGTCTGTGTAATAGAGCTTTATAGCTCATCGGATAAATACATATTCTGATTCTTATTCAGACGCCAGATGAGTGTTGCATCACAGGGCTGTTAGAGATGACAATGGCTTAAGCAGACCTTCATCCAGCAGTAGATTCACGATGGCTCATGATGATTTCTGTTTTGTTCAGCGCTCGCTCGGATAACTGCTACTTGGCCTGTACCGAGTTAAATATTTGTTCTACTATTAATTTTACAACGACACAAAATATTGTTCCCAAAAAATAATAATCACAGTGACGAATTGCTCGTGTCAGAATCGTGGGTTAATGTGCGAGCAGCAGCAGTTGGTGCGTTCACGTCACGGATACAGGGCCCACAGTTGTAGCGCCGTGCCATGGCCGCCAAGGTTCAATCAATGTTTATATGAAAGTAATCATAAATGTAATCAATTGGGATATAACTTTAAAATGTTCGGGCTTCAGCAATAAGGCTGAACGCTTTTCAAAGTAGCCCACATATAAACCAACGATACCATCAGCAACACGCATGTGTACTCAAGCCCGCGGTGAAAATATCACGCGGAGCGCTATCAATCACCCGTCTAACGCCGTACACTCAGCTAATCCCTAAATCACGATTTTTTTTTATTCTTTGACGCAAATCCAGAAAGGCACTTTGCTAAAATTAATAAGATTTGCAGCCCTCCCGAGTCCATGTGCAAAGCTCGTATAATAAACTGGCAAGGGAGCCAAAGCATTAGTTAATCATTGTGTATCTGAGAAGGTGCCCCAAATCCTTCATTATATAAATTGTTTAACCTTGTGTGGAGACCATCGCAAGGGCTGGGTGGTGTCCCTTTGCCCCGAGCACAGCTCTTGCCACTTCACGAGCCACGGGAGTAGAGAATCCGTGGCCAATCGAGCAAGGATCTTCCATTACTCCAGACACCAATGTCGTACGCCATGCGTGTGAATATCATGTTTCACGCCGGGTTCCTTCGAGGTGGGAGATTCCTCCAAGAATCGCATTCAGTTGCAGCCTAGGTGACTCCCGCAGGATTTGTGATTGGTCTTCAGACGATTGCCCTGTTTATATATATACACACAAAGACAAAGATTACCCGTATCGCCTTCACAGACTGTAGGGACAAGTGATGTTAGCGAGCACCTATGTAAGCCGGAACGGCACACGAGGGGGTGGGTGGCCAGCACCACGCCCAACCACCTTTGTCTCCCCAGTGGTGATGTTTACACACAACACCAGCTACTCATTGCAGGCTGATTCGACCTAGGGGAGGCCCAGGACCGGTTCAGATAATCGTCACTGGTGCTGGCCATGGGTGGCAATCAAACCTAGGTCGCCGGGTTCATAGCACAGCGCGCTAACCGCTACACTACCGCTCCCCAGTTTATATAAACACATACATGTACACGAGTGAGCATCTGAAATTGCATGAATGCATATTTGAGTGAGCATCTGTCTGTGTGTATGTCTACACGTGCGAGTGAGCACTCAATCATTTGGCAGCCCTGATGGTGCAAGTGGTAGTTCTGGCGATCCTTGAGGAATGTCCGGTGGCACCTGTAGAGGAGGTGGTTGGAGTGGTGGTTATAGAGGGTAGTTGCGGTGGTAGCGGTGGTGGTTGCTATGGTCTTGATGGACTCAGTGTTCATCCCCGTGTGTTCCCAGGGGTAGTCCCAGTGATCTCGGTGGTATCATTGTTAATTTTGACAGTCACCCTGGACCCAAAGTTGACAGTCGTCCAAGTAGTTATTCCGATGGATCCAGTGGTAGTTCTGATGGGTTGAGTGTAGCCCCAGAGGTCTTGTTGGCAGACTCATTGGTTCATGTGGTCCGAGTGGAAGTAGTTATGGTGCCTGTAGTCTTAGCAGTAGTCCAGGATGTCCCAGTGGTAGTCCTGGCGGTGGCTCTGGGTGGTAACGTAAGTGGCTGGCCCAAATACGAACCAGCCGCCATCGACCAGAATCGCCATTGAAACACATTTCATCTGCATACGCCATACGTTTAAATGGCCTATCCGCTAGTCTGGTCAGACTTGACGATTCTTGCCACATTGCTTGAAAACTTGCAATCGGGGTAGACTCTGGCCAATTTCGCATTGCTGTATCGGCCATACGCTTCAGTGGTTATTTTGGTTCATACCAGCTGGCTAGAATCGGGGTCAACTACAAGGGATTACCACTAGAACTACCGAGGGACCTCCTAGACGACCACTTAGACTTGGAGAGACCACTAGGACCACCACTTGGAACATCGGGATTAATGCTGGAATCTCCAGCATTCGAAGGCGATACCAGCCAGCCGGTATCGCGATTAAAACATGATAGATTACATACGGCACCTTCCTTCTTACCCGAATACTTTTCAGCCCAGGCCCACCCACGATACCATGATCCTGCAGTTGTCGTGATCCCGATCGGAATCTATTAATTTCCAATAACGGAATCGTAATTCTCGGCGAAATTCGCAAAAATCACGCATTTATAGCAGTGATGCATGTTCGTTTAGTTCCATTAAAAACAGTGTGATGTTTAGTTAAAGCTGTATTGTAAATGTTATGATTTATAGAAGGTGATGTTGCAATGACATACACTAACAATTTGCAAAGATAAATGCATGGGAGACATGCTTCGCTTACACCCGCACACTTTGGTTTTATTATCTTAATGGTGCTTCTTAGCAAAATTAATTCCGGGCTGAAACATTTGTAATACAAACACATCTACTGTATATATGAGAATCATTCAAAACATTAAAACACGTTTTACTAAAAGTATACACAGACTCATGCTAATATTTGTTTTCTTTTACAAGGCAGTTACCTCCAACATAAATGCAATCTTTGACACATTTCATACATGAGAAATATATTTTTTTTAAAGCCAACTCACTGACGGAAACCTTTCCAGAGGTTTTAAAACTGTGACCGGTAACCGCGATAGAATAATGTCACGCTTGCCTCTGCTGTTTATTCAAACCAGCCAAACACAACACACTCGTGTTGTGTTTGGCTGCTACGACCAATCCCACCGGGAGGACTCGTTGAGGCTGCGTGAGAGCTTGGGGAAAATCGCACTGCCAAAGAAACGGTCACGTGTGTGTGTGTGATATCCTCAAAATAAACGGTTAAGGGGCTGGTATAGAAGTAAATTAACGGCAGCGGTCTTTATACAATTACCCAGTCGAGCCTTCAATTACACACAACCATCATACGAGCCATGCACATTTAGAAACGTCAAACGATTTATTGAAAGTAATTGAGATGCACAATAGGCGACTGTGATTAAGGGTTTTTATAAATTGCGTTTTGTTCCATTCTTTAAAAAATGCATTATTTAAAAAGACAATTCCCGTACCTAATCCGTGTTTCTCTCATTTAATGCTAAAACAAAACCATAGCTTGTCTAGAAACATTGTCTCGCGGATTAACAACAAACATTACCGTATAAAAAGTACTGCAGGGAGAGGTGGGGGGGATTGATTGGACTGTCAATCCACATCACATTATACTGCACCCTTATGGACTCTACACAATTATCTTGATTACAACCGCTAATCAAGCCTAACACTTCAGGTACGGCATATGTACAATGCGTATAAATTAAAACAGAAATAATGTATTCTCTATTTGCTCTATTCAGACGTGGATTGTCGGCGAGTGTCTCTCACGACTGACCGGGGGTTGCCCAGTCGCCACTGCATCGTCATCCCTTCGCTTGCTGATACAGCAACAACGTGCGCACTAAATTTCGATTTAAAGCTTTCGTGACTGCAGGGATTCATCTTCTTGGTTCTTTCGGTAAAGTCACGTAGAATGGAAATAATAAAATAATACAAATAAAACATCGTCGTGAGAATTATTTTATTATGTTTTATTTTTATTATTTTATTATTTCCATTCTACGTGACTTTACCGAAAGAACCAAGAAGATGAACGTGCTCACTGTGGCGTTGAGCCGATCTAAGGGGATACCAATACCGGGCACAGATGCCACTCACCATCAGATGCTACTCACCATCGATGTGGCCTACTCTTGTCTTGAAACGTTTTTTTTCTTAATATAAATTGGTAAATTAGTAATGATACACACTCTTTTGTGTTATAACACAATCTCAGCTCAGGTGCAGAGTCTTTAGACCGAAACATGTCGCAGTGTTTCAGGGAACACTAAGCCAGCTTAATATTGAAAGTGCTTTTCCTAAGAAAAAATTAAAATGTACACCCCATATTTTGTCAGATTTTTTGTTTGTTACACGACAGACCGCACCCTGACCTTTACAAAAACAGCCTCTGTAAACATGTTTTAATTCTCAAATTTACGTTCCTACAAACCCACTCGTTGTAAATCTTCCTTCATCGACATTATTTGATGTAATTCTTCCAACCGTCGTCTGGCCCATGATGGTTCGTTGCGTCATCTACAAAACAAAAGTCACGCAGCAGGCAAAAAACATGAAATAAACAAAAATTGATGGGCACAAAATCTGTTCAAATGTTCAGCTTTCAATGGGTGCTTAAATTATACAGTGATGTTATTCTGATGTCACCTATCTTCACTTGGTCGAAGTCAAGATTAAATTCCTTATTTTCTCTGAGCTTATCACAGGAGTGTCAGGAGCACGTGGGACGGCAGTATAAATGGATGGAATCTTACTCTCCGTCTTTGCATTGCCACACACTCATTGCTAAAACCACCGGGATAGGTTACCGTATTTGGTTAAAGCAGAGCAGGAAAGAGCGAATTTAATTTAGCCGTAGGCAAAGAGCCAGCTTTACGTAAATTAGTTTTTGTAAATAACTACATCCTCGTTGAATTGAACATGTAAATGGAAAAAACTGCAAAGCAACATTGTGAGTAGAGATATTTTTAAGTGCATGAAGATCAATGTTTGTATCCCAATCACTAATTACAAACGAAGGCATGTCCAATTTTACTTTTGTGGTCATTGACAAATGACACGAGTGCTTAGAATGTATGTCTGTAAGTTTCTAAGTCGTAAATCTTTGCCGTAAGGGAAGCCTTCATGCTTTCTTCGCGTCACATTAAAGGTCAGTGCAACATGCAGTGTACAATGCTCTTCAGTGCTTTGTCTCTGGTGCTCCATCACCTCGGGAGCTGGTGGTGCCATCACCAGTCCCGCTTTGTGTGCGCAACGCATCCCATCAGCTGCTCGTCAGCAGCTCCCAGCAGAAATGAAGACAATCCGCGAGACGTGAAATGATTTGCAACGAGCAAGACGGCCGAACTCACCATCGCACGGACCCTTCTGGATGGTGATGTCGTCCAGCGAGATGTCACCACTCGCGTTCGGCCCGGAGATTGCCGTGAACACAATCTGCAAGAGAAAGGCGAGGCAATCGGCGGTGGGGGGGGGGAAGGGGGGACGCTTTTTGACCCACCGCCAAAATACGCGACAGTATCCGACGGCGGTCGAGCAGCGCTAGCGGGCAAAAAGAAAAGTGCCCGAGCGAGCGCACCTGGTGGTCGACGCCGCTGCTGTACTCCACAAGGGCCCGCCGCCAAACGTCGCCGTGCTCCCCCCACCGAGCCCAGAGCGCCACGTCGCGCCGCGCCAGGTCGTGCCCCTCGCGGAGGCTCACGCTCAGCTCCCCGACCCCGGCGCCGTGCAGGTGGCAGAAGAACGAGAGGCAGCGAGCGCCCGGGACGCCGCGCAGCTTTGGCGACAGCAGGCTGGCGCGGCGTCCCGGCGGCATGCCGCTCGCCTCGATGTACATGTAGTGGCCTGCTCCGGTCACACACACAACAGGCGGGTTGTGATTCAGACGCTGTCTTTCCGACAGACCTGTTCTTCACCTGAGGACGGCTGCTTGCGTTGTGGCCGAAACGTCGTGAGAATTGTATTTTATTATGTTTTATTTTTATTATTTTATTATTTCCCTTCTACGTGACTTTACCGAAAGAACCAAGAAGAAAAAAAAAAGGGCGGGTTGTTGTTGAGTGGTCGGGGGAGCGCTGGCGGTAAATGCCCGCGAGGGCTGGCAGGCTGGCGTGGAACACGACAGGACCAGCACCAACTACAAACTAAAATTTGTATTTTTTTTTTACCAGGTAAGGCCCACTGTGTGAATGTATGTTGAACTTCTTTCGCACCGTACGCAGCCAACCGTGCTAACTGGAGGTGCGGGCTCTATAGGTATTTTTGAGAAGTGACCTGGCCAGAAATGATAGCTCAACAAAAGTGACTTATCATTTGGAAATTTAGAACAGCCAAATACTCTGAATGCACGTTGATTCCACATGTGGAGGGTAAAACCGGAGGACCCGCAGAAAAAATCCACGTGACCATGGGGAAAGAGAGAGACGCGCAAACTCCAAATATACAGCAGGTGTCAGGGTCGGGATCGAACCCACTACCTCCTGCATACTAGGGCGAGGTAGTTAACATCTCACCACCGTGGTGCCCCTGTGAGCAAACAAAACACCTCGGAATCTTTATTTATCCTTGAGAAATCTTTGTTGTATTTGCAGTACTGATGTCCACTGAGTATCGCATAAGGTCGTGTTGATCTCGAGGAGGCCCAGACCGGGTTAATATATAAGTTGCCGCTGCTGCGATGCTTGGCGATGGGGCTTATACTCATGTCAGAGCAGTGAGCCAGCACTGCCGACAACCCGGGTTTGAATCCAGGTTTCATCCACCCACAAACCGAGTTCTCAATTGTAGCGAGTTGATGCTCTCATGACTGCAGCAAAAACAAATAAACTCGTTGAAAAAAGAAAATATCACTTAATTTGGCGATTTCCAATGTGAGAATTTAACATTTTTTTCCCTTTGCGAATGTATCACCATTTAAAAAATAAGAGTCCTATTGAAGGGATAAGAATTTCTGTGAAGTTGTTCTCTGACAGAAGAAGATTTCCTGTTTGCCGTGAAACTTGGAAACAGCAATGTCTTCGTCACATGACGCGGTGTCAACTTTTTCTTCTCCCTGTCAGTTCCAAATTGGCGTTGGCACCAAATTTTTGTTTCTGTGGTCTGGTATACAGCAAGTGTTTGACCAAAACTCATCGCGGGATGCCGTCTGGACACCCATTCATTTCACGCAGTCAGCTTTTGCCTTGGCAGACTCGGCGACTGACATCTGTCACATCAACAAAGCGGGTGCAATGACACGGTGCCAGTAGCTCGATTAAATTATGAACAGGAAACGAAGCGAGATAAAAAATCCGCGCGAATAAAAAAACTATCTGGCACTATTTTGACACATACGTAGGATGAGCAACAACAGGAAAATTAAAAGTGTCTTGTTTGTAAAAATGGAAGGAGCCGGAAAGAGAGGAAGACCGGAACAGAGAATGGTTTGACAACGACATCAGAGATCGGTGCCAGAAAAATGTGGTATTTCGATGTAAAGCTTTCGTGACTGCAGGGATTCATCTTCTTGGTTCTTTCGGTAAAGTCACGTAAAATGAAAATAATAAAATAATAAAAATAAAACATAATAAAATAATTCTCACGACGTTTCGGCCACAACGCAAGCACCTGAGGACGGCTGCTTGCGTTGTGGCCGAAACGTCGTGAGAATTATTTTATTATGTTTTATTTTTATTTTTTTATTATTTCCATTCTTCGTGACTTTACCGAAAGAACCAAGAAGATGTGGCATTACTTGAGAAAATTGGCACAAGACAAGAGGAAATGGGAAACAAATGATAAAATGTGCAGGAGACACCTACGGGCTATCTGCCAATGGATCGCGATGATGATGTTGATTATGATGATGATAAAATATGAGAACAGGGGGAGGAAAGGAGGAGAGGGCAGTACGGCCGAGCCGGGCACCGTGTCCGGTGGTGTGGTCGCCCTGGGGCCCCGTCGAGGACGTGGGCGTGTTGCCGCTCCGCCTCAGCCACTTGAACGTCTCCCGCACGTCGTGTCTGTAGCCGCACAGGCCCTCGTCGAAGTCGCAGTTGGCCAAGCTCCGTGGTGGTGCTGCAACAGCGGTGGCAGCGGCAGTCGCAGTCACGACGAGGCCTGTGCACAAGCCTGCAGCCTCTGTCCGGTCTAGTTTCAAGTTTGTTTTTAACCAGGTGAGATGTTACGTACGTATGTTGAACTTCTTTTGCGCCGTACGTAGCCAACGGTGAGAGATCCCAAGGGACTAGGATAGGTGAGCTGGGTCACCAAAATGCCAAGAGTCAATCAACCAAATAGAAATCGGAGCAAAATCAACTCTGTCGCCATGAGAAAATCGAAATTATTGCCCGAACGCAAATTAATATTAAGAATGCGTTTCATGTCACGGAAGTCGGCTCGGGAAGATTCCTGTTTTTGACTGACCATGGTACAATTTCAATTAAGTTGCAGAGCCACTGAATGCATATCGGGTGACCGTTGCAATCACATGTAGACAGACAATGATATTAATTCTCCAAGCCGGCACCTCTCCTGCCATCAACACTGTCTTGTATATTAAAAACGAGTAATAAAATGAGGCCCGCTGGAAAGAGCACTCTGTTCATTTCAATTGGTGGTGCAAAATAAAACTAATCATGTAAAAATACATCAATTAATCTATTGTAATCGATACGTATGCTCGCGACACACGCATTGAATAATGCATGCAGAGGTGATTTATGATTTATGCCCATGACATGATAACGTGAGTTTTAAGTTAATTTACAAATGCGCCAGCAACAGTGAAAAATACACATGCCAAAATGTTTGGGAAAATAATGAGCCAAAAATATTTTAAAAATACTTCATCCAAAACGTGTACACTGGCTAACGCTTCCTTGCCATGGCTGTACACCCTGGTGCATTAGTCCTCCTCGATTCAAGCTTTGCGTAAGTAAATATCTCTGAAGCTCTCCAGAAGTTTCACCGGATGCAGTTGCAATCGCAACCTCTGCTTGACTTTCATCGCTCGAGTGTAACAGCGGGACATGCCTCGGCACGGCATCGTCACGTAGACGCGGGTGCTGAGCCAGTCGCTGTAAAACGTCGGTGGGGACATTTGGAGACTGGCGGGTGCTCGCTAAGCGCTTTGTTCGCGAAAGTTGATCCTGAACCAACTACACGTGGCAGCGATGGGTGAAGGAGCTCTCAAGTGCATTGAGCACAATGGCTCCATTGTGTAAACACGAGGTTAGTGAGTTTAACACGTAGGCTTTCGCGACCAATTTCAGCCATAATAAGAGTTTTTTTTGGGGGGTTAATCGCATAAATATGAATGTGTCGTCAAACCCGCCGCCACCCGACACAGCCAATTAGTAAGGTTTGTCACGTAAACAAAACGTGTCAATTCATCACTAGTTCAGCACACCGATGTTGGAGAGTAAACCCACAACATTTTCAATTCGAGTATTGTGACGTTTCACCGGTAATTACAACCAGCCTCATCGGGCGACAGCCAGAAGTTGTGGAGAAATATTCCCTTTTCGGCCAAAAATGTCGCACGGACATGATTTGTTTCATGAAGAGTTATGCCGTAAAATACCCTCTAAAGTTCGCTCCAGTGAAGGACGCTCACGCCAGCGGTGGCGTGAGCAAGCAACTTGCAGGGCGGCACCTATATCGATCGCTCAGCGGGCTGCTGATGCGCTAAGCATTCATCCTCCGTGAGTCACTCTGGCGGATGAGACCATTAAACGCCAGCCGGAGATTGAGTCTGGAGAACAAAGTGTCCCTTTGCAGGGAGTGACGAGACGTAAACTCTGCCATAAACACACCCTAAATGTGCCGAGTCACTCTATCAGCAAAGCTGAGCAGTGCCCTGCGACTGGGAAAGAGTCATAGGCAGGCGCATTTAGCAATTAACAAAAACGTATACTCCTCTGTGCTGTGTGTGCCTTGAAGAATCACATAGCAAAGCTGTCAATTAAAATAACATAAACCACGTGGCTTATCGTCTTTTTATGTCGAACGAGTATTTAATTTTTTTCGCAACTTTGTTGCTGCGTTATGCAGCTGTACGTGTATCATGATTCCAATGGCACTTCACTCCGAAAATAATAAACACCACCCCTTGATGCGCAATGTCCATACTTTGGACACATTATGAGGACCTCTGGATTCGAGGAATCGGTCTTGGCTTGGGAATTGAGAAGGTAGCAGGGTCAGAGGTCGACCTCAGAGGAGGTGGATGGATGACATCAAGAACACCGCTGGTCTTACACACTAACCCAGCTACGAGAGGCAGCGAGAGACAGGCGGCGTGGCTGGCGGAGTTTGGTCATGGAGGTCACCAGAGGTCGTACTCGACCTGACGACACAAGTTGACAAGGTGATGCGCATGTCCCAGCTTTCTCTGCAGTGCAGCGCTGTAAGATGCAGCAGCAGTTGGACACCATATGAATCCAAATTGCATTGTTTTATAGAGATGCACTGTATTCCATTTTAGTATATTGGGGAGTTTGGGTTTGTGGGTGGCAGACGAAAATATGAGACATCTGTAGATTGTTTCTTAGGTGGCCTTGAGCTAGAGGTGGAAATCCCACTTTCCTGTGATGAGATGAGGTCTCCTTGTAGGACAACCACCGTTAATTTCCCGTAATTTGATACTGATTTCATCTATCCCGGAATGGATGACTGGCTAAGTTGACCCTGGCCAGGACTTGACCTCAAACGTTTCTGATTGGGAGTCGAGTGAACTTACCACAGCACCACTCATCCCAAAGGAAAAGAAAACTCTAGCCATGCCATGGGCAGAAATAAACTACATTTTGAATGTTAAAATCAACTCCTATGCTAAGGAAACATTATTTTAATAATTGACTTTGATTTAAGCAAAGTATATGCCAAAGGAACTGTAAACGTTACACTTAGGCAAAGTGAGCAACTAAGAATATACAAAGGAACAAGAAATACAGAGACATGTAAACAGAATGGTGAAAATGAGCAGATACAATCAGCTCTGAAATATAATTTTGACAATTGATTGCATTGTTTTTGGAGTGAACTCATAATCAATATGATCTAGATACAATGCAAAATCAAACTGAAGTGCGAAGTATAACAGCGTGGTGTCGAGTTTTGATTGAGTACCTTTACTTTGCATGCAGTTGCCATGGGTAAGAGTGATGTCATCCAGAGATATCTTTCCACAAAGCAATGGACTGAAGCAGTGAACCACAAACATGATCTGCAATGAGAGCACAGGAAGACATTAAATGACTGCACTGAATTACACGTGACATAATTGCTGTATGTGAACTGACAGCCATCGCAATCCGAAGGTGCTTGATGATAGGGCGAAACACGTGCATTTCTCTTCGAGCTGGTGATCTGAATTAGTTGTTTCAGTGGGGGGTGGCGATGTTCATACGTGTAATCCCAATTGAGTAATTTGAAGATGCATTTGCACCATCGGCAGGTGTGGACCAATGCCAGTTACATTGTACGGCTATGCTTTGGCTCTCGGAGGAAACAAGAGAACCCGGAGAAAACTCATGCCGAGCACGGGGAGAACAAACAAACTCTAGGGAAAGGCACCCGACTCAGGAATTGAACCAAGGCCCTTCTTGCTATGAGTGTCACACCGCTGTGCCAATTTGCCACACTCAATGGCAACAATGCTGCTACCGATGACGATCACAGTGACAATGGCCATGATTATCTTTAATCCTAGTGATGACCTGGCCAGCTCGCTTTTGAAAAAGAGCTAAAAAGCTCAGTGGGCCTTACCGAGTAAAATAAAAAAATAGCAAATAGTCTCTGCGCGGTGTGTATGGAATTTTTTACAGGCTATAGTTTATCTTTAGAAAAAGCACAGCAATCAACCATCACATTTCAGCAATCCCCATGAACTGTTTGGTTGTAAAAATAGCTGAAGCATGAAACACTTTATACAAGATGATGAGTGATTCTGTTCTTTTTTCTTGCTGCAGTAGTGTCATGTGAAGAATTGCTGGAGTCCTGTCAAATATAACCACGTCATTGCTGCCAAAAGCACACAGATATAACGGGTTGTAACGAAACATCAACTCTCCAATAAATGTAGATTCTTAAATTCATGATGCATGTATCAAATCACGTGCGTAAAAAACCTACATTTGTATTCTATTTAAATACGTTGCATGTGACCAGCACACGTGACCCCCCGCGGCTACTTAAAGGCACTACCATTCACTGCAGTGTCAAAAATTGAACGCGACTTGAATTGAATCGCCGGTGACAGTGGTGAATCATTACACCTCTAACGTATGTAGATGTAAAATTCTTACACTGTCAGTATCAATGTTCGTCATAGGGTTTTGGGTGATGATTTTGGAATGGAAGCTGAGATGGAGCGATGGGACCGGCTCGTGCGCAGCAGTCAGATGGATCGTGGCATTTCAGGGCCATGTGGGATTGTCAGAGTGTGGGGTGGGGTTTCACTCATCGGTGGAGAGAACACGACCGTTGATAATGATGATGAAGAGCTAGCTGAGAGGAGGCACCATGCGGACGTGGATTGAACACCCTTCTACAAGGGATGATCGCCGATGGATAAGCACAGGTGGATGATAGTGTGGGAAATAGAACTAGAAATTTGTAGAATGTACGCGTGTCACATTGAATGTACCTAAAGCGGCAAACCGCTCTTAACAGAAATACACAAGTGGCAGTATATATAAATAAATATGAGGATATGGGCTCTCCATACCATATTTTAATAATAAATCCATATTTTGTCCATCAGGTTATGGGCCTTCTGTGCCAGTATTTTCGAGCAGGGTTTGTTAAGCGGGAAATTTTTTGATTGGTTTTGACTTAGTAAGCTTCATCAGCAGCGTGTGGCCCAAAAAATAAATAATGCTGGGTTGTCTTGTGTCGCAGGCAAGAGCTCTCCAGAGAAGTAAAACTCTACATTAGAAATTGTTGATAAAGTAATATGATCGAGTAGGCTATGAACGTTTTTAACCAAAGTGTTTCATCTGTTGTTGAGTACAGGGCACGGAATGAAGTGATTGCGGATATTCATTCAGTGGCGTTTTCTTGCACGGTTGCTTCCCTGTTTCAATTTGGGTCAGGGTTGGGGGGAGTTAACTATCGATGTTTCAGAGGGACAATCCTTCATGGGTTGGTTGACACAACTCTTGATGGCAAAGCAATTGTGATACGAGAAGTGATCAGGTGGTGCCGGAGTAGCTAACCGTGATTAAACTGGGTTCTCAAGTTAATTATCCCAGCCAGGCCACCAATAACTGCACACAAAAAATCCAGAACAACATTTTTTTTTTCACTTGAATTGGCTTAATTCCAGCTCTAAGATTTACAAAGCATCCGTTTGATTGCCACGTGATGAACGTGTGTAGATAGCAATGCGATCGCTGAAGGGATCTCACAAGAAGTTCTGTGAAATCCATTTCAGCAGGCCATTTCCCCTACCACACGGGGGGAGGGGGCGTGACATAAAAAGCCACCCCGGTGCAAAGGTTTTCGAACGGACGCGTCAACCCGTGGACGTGACGGCCGAGAGCACGACACGTCCCGTTGGTACGACGCGAGATCGGCCGACGACCGACGCGCACCCGATGCGGATGCGACCGCCGGACGTTGATCTCCGCCTGCAGCCAGCCGTGGTCCGGGCGTCTCGCCGAGCTCCACAGCGTCTCCTCGGCCGCCACCGCCGCCGCCGCCGGCGCCGCCGGCTCGGGCCGCCCCCGCGTGAAGCGCGGCGCGGGGACGTCCCACGCGCGCACCTGCAGGCGCGTGGCGGCACGAGCGGCGCCCGTCGTAGCGCGGAAGAAGCGCAGGCAGTACTCGCGCTCGGGCGGCAGCTCCGGAGAGACGAGGCGCGCGATCGGCTCCCGTGACAGCGCCCGTCCGCTCGCCGCCGCGAAGTGACCTGCACGCGGTCCCGCGCGTGAGCGGTCGCAGACGATAAAGATTCCCCCGTGAAGCCTCGACAGACCATTGGGGGCAAATGGTGCTAGCGACGGGGGGTGGGTGGCCAGCACCACGTGGTGGCAATGGTTATAGGTTGCTCCAGGTATTCATTTGAGGCTCAGTCGACCTTGGGGAGGCCCAGGACTTGGCCCCACGAGTCAAAAATCAAAGTGACGTTCGGCTCAAATGTGCATTAAGTCGCCGCTCGTCTGCTCGTTTACAGCCCTCAGCCAGCGGCGGAAATTCTACATTCCTATGACGGTGGGCGAGTCTCTCCATTTGACAACCTCTGTTGACTTCCCCGCACAAAGTGGTACTCGTTTAGCGACCCTGGAAGAACCATGAGGCCGAGTCAACCCCCAACCAGGATTTGAAGTGGCCAGCTTGTGATTGCGAACCACTGGCTCTACCGCTGAGCCGCCTGGCCGCAGTGAGGTTTACGAGCCGTGCTGCTGCTGATTAAAACATGGAAATGGGGTGTATGGGAGGGGGGGGGGAGTGTAGTATGTACTCGAGTTTCTGCGGTTCGTGTAAACGCAGTAATAAGTGGTTGTGTTAGCCCAACTACACCACCAAGTGGTAGCTACAAAGATTATGCCAGAGGAGGCCAGGCAGCTCACTGAGCCAACATCACTGAGATCCTAGGTTGGAATCCAGACAGCCACTCACGATTCAACCAGGCTCTCTGGTGTTAAAACCCCAGCCACCAATGACATCTTTACAAGGCGTAACGGTGCACTGTCTGGTCGTGGTCAATTGAAGTGCTGCCAGAAGTACTTGCGTAACATCGTCATCATCATCCTGATTTAATAATGCACCGTTCCCCATGAGCGTTCACGACGGAAGGGGTAAAGATGAATCATCCCTTTACATGAAAGTCGGTATCCCCACTGCCACCCATAGGGAAGGTGGCAGGGATAATGTATAATATAATTTGAATGTATATTGCTTGTAAATGCAACATCACAGAATACTCGGTCGAACAGCATGACATGGGATATCCTGGCAAAGGGGCCATCAGTTTTATTTTTTTATTATTATTATTCTAATTATTTATCTGCCTGTTTGTGCGTGATGAACTTCTTTCGCACTGTACGTAGCCAAGCATGCTAATCGGAGGCCGCTATTAATTCGGGTATTTATTTTATCTAGGGATGGAGACAGTCTTATCATGAGCAGAGGCACGGAGGAAGGTCTTGAGCCTGGAATTTAAGAGAATCACGAAGTCGACAGCACGGAATGGCTGGGTGGGGGAGGGCAGTACAACAGGGCAAGATTCACGTGTTTTTTTAAAATGTCACATGCGGCACGATGGTTTCACCATAGCCCGTCGTGTGGTCTCCTTGTGGCGTGGTGTAAGTCGAGCCCGAGCTGAACTTCCAGCGAGAGTTCCCCGGCTGTTGCTTCCAGTAGCAGAAGCCGTTCTCGAAATCGCAGTCCGTCATCTGCTTCAGGAAGCCTGCGCAGCCGTCAGCAGAGCAGAGGCGTGGACAGAGGGCAGCACCACAACGCTAAACGGTCCCCGGTTCCACGCGCGCCACCCGGTCTGGAGTGAAAATAGTCGAGCGTGAAAGATAAGGGCCAATCAAACAAGACGTGCATTAGTGCGTACAGCTTAGAAAAATGTCCAGTTCCTTCATTAGCTTCTGGGAAGAAAATTAGTTCAATACGATAGCAATAAATCATAATCTCTGTACTGTTGTGTTAAACGAAATTGCACCAGAATACAATGCAAGCGATTCGTTCGATATTGCCACTCCATTTGCATTTAAATAAATTACGAGCGACTTCAAAGCAAATTGTTTACATCGTAAGAATAGATTTCGTGCATGAGACTGGCTTGATTTGTTAGAAAGCACTAACGCAGATGAACTTTCATGCATTACATTTTTTGTGTAATTAAAAAATCACCTGCATATGCAGTTCGCAAGTGAGCTAACTGAAAGGGCCGTCCTTGGCCACGGCATGGAAAAAGTCCTCAGTTGCTGGTGGAGCCGGATTGACGACGACGATCAACTCGTGTTGGAGACCCATGACCGAAAGGATGGCCTCTAATGACGAGCCAATACCAACGTGAAGATGGCTACAGAAGCCGTACACTTGCTAAACCAACTGACATACAACCATTCATCAATGCGATATTGGATGAAAGCCTCTGCATGCCGTGTCAATCGTGGGGGTTGTTTGACCATTCTTCACCGAGGTGGTCAACGAAGATGCCTATCTCATCGGGATCCTCATTGGTAAAGCTCTGACTAAACTACGCTGTGCACAATGGTCCCCTTCTAAGCCTTAATCCAGCACTAGTGTGCATCTTGCTCAGCAAAGAAAGGCCGTGGTCTTGCCTTGCTTCTCTTCTTCGCAGGGACCCGGATGGAAGGACACGTCGTCCAGAGCGACGAAGCCTTTGGACGAGCCCAGGACGGTCCCCTCGAACACGACCTGTGGCAAGCAGGGCCCGCGTTAGCGAGCAGCAAGCGTGCGAATGCACTGAGACGAGTATTCTTCAGGCTCTCCCCCTCGCACGAAAGAAGGGCCCCCTGCCAGAAATGTTTGCCCGGTACATAAATGTTCTTCATCTGCAGGGCAGTGTATTGAAAAAATGTGTTGAGTTTTTGTCATAAATGAAGGAACGCTTCACGGGGAAGTCGACAACTTGCCCCGCCACAAGAAATGAGGAATTTCCACATGGGCAGTGACATGGCCCCATCTGTGGCGCATTCGCCGCTTGTTGCAGAGGTTCTGGTTATCCAAAAACATACGCAGCCATCTACACCACACTGGACGTGTGTCGGCGTCATGGTCAAAATTTACCTGGCAGGACCCTCCTGAAAAAAGTAGTCATGAGGCTCGGCGAGGCTTTCCTGAGTCAACAGGCGTGATAACAAAACAAATCAGGGCCTCTAGGGGCGTTGAGTGCCAGCCCATTGCATGTTGAACGGGGAGATGTTTAGATTTGTTTAACTTTGACGACATTATACTCAATTTAAAACAAACACAAAGTTAAGTAATGAAAAGCACGCGTGGTTTTTCCGTATCAATTTCAACGGTGGGAGAGCCGTGCAATTTCCATCTGTAATTCACCGCAGTACCTGCCCCGTCTTCAACAGAGAGACTGGGTTGTATTTATATTTTAAAATATTACTCTGCCCCAAGATGAAAGTTGATGTCCCCAAAAGGTTTTGACATTGTGGCTCTCCTTTAAAGATGCTGCCTCAGAAGCACCAACAACAACAACAAAAAATCCACGAGCCAAAGCCAAGCAGTGAATAAAAACTCATACCAGGTGAGAGCTGGCAGCCCTGAGCCCACGCGAGATGAGCTCTCGATAACATTGGTTGTTTCTAAGCGACACAGCGCTTTCTGACAACATCTTTGAGGAATGTCAGGAACACTTACATAGCATTACGACGACCCACGGTGTGAAATGTTAAATACCTTGCCTGGTATGCAGGAGGTCGTGGGTTCGATTCCAACCCTGACGCCTGTATATTTGGAGTTTGCATGTCTCTCTCCCCGTGGTTGTGTGGATTTTTCTCCGGATCCTCCGGTTTATCCCTCCACATTTAGAAACGGGCGTTTAGTGTATTTGGTTTGCCATACATTTCCACGTGATGAGCCACTTCGTTGAGCTATCATTTGTGGCCAGTTTGCTTCTGAAAAAGACCTAAATAGCTCAGTGGGCATTACCTGGTAAAATAAAAATATAGTTTAGCTTAGTTTTCATGGCCAATCATTGAAAATAATGGAACGACCACCCCCCTTCCACAATAGGAATGTGGAATTTCCTCTAATGACTCTGGGTCTCAAACAGGAGTGGGTGCAGCTCCGTTGCTTGTGTGAGCACGGAGGCGTTTGGATCCGCTTGACTTTGACAATGTTCCGTTCAATTTATGAACAAACTAAATTAGCAAAAGCTAAGCAATAAAGATCAAAGATTTGCACGTCATTTTTCTGGATCAACAACCCTGCCAATGACAAGATGGTTAAGTTAACGTGAACAAAAAAATAACTCAACACATTCGGCAATAACAGTGCCTTAAAAATGAAACACATGTTAAAGGTGACGTCGTTACGGCTAAGAAAAAGGACCGTCACCCGATATGTCACCTGTGATATATTTTTTTTTAATTTTAGTGTTATTGACGAATCTGTTGTGTTTTATTGTTAATGGTGCTTGAGCCAACGCAGCATCACCAAATAAGTTGTCGAACGAGGGTTAAATAGTTGAACCTTGCAAGAACCCAATTAAAATATAAACCTGAACTGTGGGGTCATGGGACGGAGTAGAAGGGATGCATTGTGGGAAGGGCTGACAACCAGAGGTGTGCCACGATCAGAAATTGTAATGAAGCTCAGAGAGCAACTGTGCCAATAGAGCCGTGGCGGTGGTTTCCAGACAGGGCTTGGTCACTCGTGTGGATATATTACACTCCGACATCTGCTGGGCTGTAAGGTGGCCAAGATAGAGCGGTGTAATAAACGGAGCAATGGACCAATCTGTGTGGACCTTGTGACTGCTATCCCCTCAAATGCAAAAATCTTTCTCCAGGGACACTTTTTTTGCTAATGAAATGTATAAAAATAAACAATCTTTGAAAAGCAATCGGCAAACTGGCCCAATGCAATAGCCTTCTGAAAAAATAAGTACCGAGTCTAATTGAGGCATTTCTTGATAAATAACGATTACTCGATATTGATAACCTCGTAAGGTTGCAACATCATCAACATAGCACAGACTAATCATTGCACATAATAATTATAATTAGATTTGTCAACAATTTTTTTGAGCCTCAACCGCTATTTCCAGTCCAGTCTAAAAGCCTCAAATTGACACTTTGAATAACCACAATGTACTCACATGTGCCAAGAGTGTTTCTCTCAAACTTCTTTAACCTGCTGGGTTTACGGCTCACAATATTCAACCCGTACCAGTCGGTGAAGGCGGCTGGGAGAGAGAGAGAGAGGGGTGGGGAGGTCCGAGAGGGCGAGGAATTTGCCTGTACTGGAATGCAGGCCCAATCCATCATCCTGGCACAGCCCATTGCCTCCAGGTGGTCTGAGGAGCATGGCAACCACACCTGTGGCAGGGCTAGGCAGGTAGACAATGCCATGAGGGCTAGTGCAGGCACCAACAAGTTGATTGTCCCAAGGAATGTAAGGTTACTCGAATAATGTCTGGTATGGGGCGAAGTTGGAAGTCACGAGTTAAAATCTCAGCCAAAGGGATAACGAAGCCTATCGTATCCGTAGGGTCATTGAAAACAAGTACAACGTTGTGCCGGGGTCAACAGCGATCGTCCAATGGATGAACTGTTCCTCAAACCGTGTCCGATCGAAGTGTGGCAGATGCAGCTATTTCCAATCACAAACGGATAACAACGGGTCACGCTGTGGTGTGAATGCGGTGAAATGCGATCTGTTCATCACTGCGCTATGAACCCGGCGACCAGAGTTTGATTCCCGATCACTGTCGAACATGAACGGTGAGTGATATCTCAAATAGTCCTGAGCCCCCCCCCCCCTCCCGCCCCACTCTAAACTTCACCAACCTGCACTGGCCAGAGTCGTGAAATTTTGCCCAACAAGCGCAGGCCTGACTGACGGTATGGGGGAGTCCTTCAACAAGCAGATTGACACGTATGTTCTGAAAATTTAAATATAAATGGCAATGTGCCAGGAGAACAGGCATTCAATTGCATAAAAGACTTTCACATTGCCCTTCATTTAGCCAGGGAAGACTCAATTGAATCTCAAGACCTTATTCAGGTTTACTGCATGGGACACTCAGCCAATTCTGTCTTCAATTGTTATAAGCATCGACAATAGCAGGACTGCCCAGATAAAGACACACAACCAGTGTGGAGGAATAGCGCTCAAATCTGCACAGACTGCTCAGCAATCTGCTTGCTGTACTATGACTTGCTTACCACCTCACAGCCATGCAGATAGGTGTCTAGTACATATCCCAAATGTCTGAACGATAATGCAATCCGCCCTCTAGAGCAGTGGTTGCAAGTGCCCATGTAATTTCTGAGATACGTTGGCTGCGTTACGGAGAACACAGCTAGAAAATACGTTACCACCACTGGCTTACATCCCAGGGATATGAATAATTGAAATGCTGACTCTCGGAGAAGGGGCATTTATCGTTATCATTCTTATTGTGCTTTTGAAAGGTACAAATGAGGCGTTACTCCTCTTCCCTCGATCGTACGGCCTTGAACGCTTTGCTCACGACAAACGTTGACAATCCTAAAGCGCTCGCCGATCCCTTGCCCTGGCCCAACGGGCGGACTGATTGAGCGACGAGGCGATCGCCGGCGGCCGTCGCGAAGGCGCGAGTTGCCTGGAAGGGGTGAGTCATTTCCAGATGCGTCGACGCCGCCTCCCAGCTGCCCAGGGTCGAACCGGCCCAGCGCCACAGCTCGTGGATGTAGCCGCCAGCTTCCCGCGCTCGCACCATGAGGCCATCCTCACCGCCACCCTCCACCTGCACGGGACGTCCACACAAGTTTTGGGTTGGCCCTCCTCTGGGAGCGTTTCAGATGTCGGTCGCCACCGACGTTAGCCGTGGCCGTAGATCAAAATCAGGTCCCCTGGATTCGGAGGGTAATTGTCAAACTACTGCGCCAATGCTAAACATTTTTTGTTAAATAATTACCAATTCTACAAGAGAATTACGACACTGATACAATGTATCGAATCGCTGGGAAGGGGATAATTGTTCTCTCTCTTGGCTGGTACTCGCAGGGTGGCACCATGGAGCTTGTACACAACAGCAGGAGTGAGCGGAGTGAAGTGCTGCCCCCCCCCCCCGCTGTGTGGAACAAAGGTCACTTCTTGACTTAAAGCTTTCGTGACTGCAGGAATTCATATTCTTTGGGTCTTGTGGTAAAGTCACGTGGATAGGTTCAAAGAAAGAATTATTAAAAACTACGACGATTCGATCGCAACACAAGCGATCGTCATCACCTGATGACGATTGCTTGTGCTACGCGACTTTACCGAAAGACCCAAAGAATAATCAGGAGGGTGAATAAAAATTAAAAAGGAGTCGGGGGGCAGCGTGGGGTTGTTTACGGCAGCGCTGTAGTATCAGAGGGGCCGGGGGGGGGATGAGGCCCCCTGCTGAAGGCTCAGCCCCCCGAATCATTCCCACGGTCAAATCAAAATATGTCGGTGCAATAACTAACACCAGTGGCAGCCTATCGTCACATACACAGAGCTAGCGGAATGCACGAGGCACAAAAGGAGAGCATACCTTTACTCATTGTATGAAGCGTTTAACATTTCGATTTAAAGCTTTCGTGACTGCAGGGATTCATCTTCTTGGTTCTTTCGGTAAAGTCCCGTAGAAGGGAAGTAATAAAATAATAAAAATAAAACATAATAAAATCAAATAATTCTCACGACGTTTCGGCTACAACGCAAGCAGCCGTCTTCTTCACCTGAAGGCGAAGAAGACGGCTGCTTGCGTTGTAGAGAATTAATTGATTTTATTATGTTTTATTTTTATTATTTTATTACTTCCCTTCTACGTGACTTTACCGAAAGAACCAAGAAGACGTTTAACATTTGTTAAAAGCTCAACATTGACTGTGTCGTGGCCCCCTTAAGTTTGCATAACCCCCCCGCCCCCCATTTGAACAAAAGGTCACCGCTACACGTGGCTGGCTAACTGTGACCCTAATGGCCCTTGCCTGGTAGTGAAAGCGAAGGCAGCCCGGCTGAGGGTCGTTCACCATCGGGGAAGCGAGGCGCGCCGTGCCTCCGAGCCCTTGGGTGCCGTGCCAATTCACGAGCAGGTAGTGGTGACCTGCACAACAAAAACACAAAGACAAAGTTCATCTTCTTGGTTCTTTCGGTAAAGGCACGTAGACTTTACCGAAAGAAGTCACGTAGACTTTACCGAAAGAACCAAGAAGATGAATCCCTGCAGTCACGAAAGCTTTAAATCGAAATTTAAAGACAAAGTTTTCCCCGCGTAACCAGAACAAGCTGTTGGGGCAAGCGCTGTTGGCGAGCGCATACAAAAGGCCGGTGGCCAGCACACCCTGTGGCGAAGTTTACACGCCACACTAGCGGAGACCGAGCACCGGTTTAGGTAATCGTCACTCGTGTTGGTGGTAGCCATGAGCGGGAATTGAACTCGGGTGGCTGGGGTTCGTCGCGCAGCGCGCTAATTACTGTGCCACACCCCCCCCCCCCCCTCCGTTCTAGTGCAGGCACAAATGCTACGACAACGACAACAACAGCGCTTGTCCTATACAAATAGACAGCTGCGTCTGCGTCGGCCGCATGACCTCATCCCTGAATGTGCAGAAATCCACTGCTACATCGTAGGCAATGAGTCACCCCATATCATTTGTGATATAAAAAAAATAAATGCGTGTAATCTGAGACACAATATCAAATAATGCATGATGAGATATTAAAACAGGCCAGCATGGCATTATGGGTAAACCCATAACATCCTGCTCGAACCTGATAGCCAACGGCGTGTTTTGTGTTTCAAATTTTCAGTGTTTTTTCGTTTCCCACTTGCTACATCAAAAAAACTACATAAGCAACAAACGAAATTATTTGTTGCACACTGCAACATCTCACGATGCAGGTTTATACATGAAATTATAATGATAATTATCCCTATGTCCTGCAGCACAACATTAACTGGTTTGTTTCCTATGAATTTGTGTTTTGTTTAACTTAACTTACGTAAGGCTTGGCAAAAAAATGTAAAATGAAGTAAATTTACAGTCTAATAAAATTCACGCTGTCAAAATGTTCTTTCTCAAAGTCCCTTTCCAAGTGCAGCTTCTGGAACTGGTTGGCAATTGGACAAATAAGATAATACAGTATATCGTAAACAGCTCATGGGCCACATCTGTGGAGGGATTTTTTTTATATTTTCAATGTGATCAGTCTCCTTAATCTTAATGAAATCTGGAAGGGACTTTGCTGACAACCGTGATCAATTTGATGTCACTCCGATTTAAAATGCCAAATTACACATGGGAAAAACACACACAATAACCAGCAGCAACAAAAATGCACGCGAAAATCTCCGTACAACTCACAACGACTGCTGGGGCAAAGTGCTGTTGGCGAGCACCTATTAAAATCCGGCACGACACACAAGGGGATCTGTGCAACCAGAACCGTGGCTGGCCACCTATCTCTCCGCGGTGCTGGTGAGTGTTCGTGGTACCCGCTAATCATTTATAACGAGTGGACCTATGGGGAGGCCAAGCAGCAGTTCAGATATCACTCATCACTTGTGTGAGCAACTGGCAGTGAGTCAAACTCAGCCGCCAGGTATGAAGCGCGTTGCACGATGCACTGCACCGCCAATCCCCGTGTATGCAACTAAAAAACTTTACGCATCCATTTAACGTTACAGACTACATAACCTCCTCCCCCCTTAACTTGTATTTAAGGGCTTGTCTCTTGAAAATGTTGCCTCACTTGATACAGTAAATCTAGCTGTGACGGTCCCACCTGATGACTTGTGTTGCCTCCGAAACGTCGAGATTTAGAATTTTATTTCTATTATTATTTCTATTATTTTATTTTTATTATTTATTTTTATCTACGTGACTTTACCGAAAAAACCTAAGAGTATGAATCCTTGCAGTCACGAAAGCTTCAAATCTAGAACGTTACAGACTGTTGGGGCAAATTTCTATGAGTTAGCGCCAAGCAAAGGCGGCACAGCGAGCAAGATACCACGTGCACACAATTACCCCGTCACGTTTCCCTCCCTACCACCCATCAGGTACTCATGTTATACTGGTTGCTCGAGAGAAGGCTATGTTCGTATTCATATTTTCAGATTCCAGTTTCTAATCATAGCCAAGTAGGGGGCAGGGGGTGATGGTCCCCCCCCACCCATCCGTTTTGAGATTACTAAAATGGCTAAGTTATTGGTGTTAGAAGAGAAAATACATTCACTGTTTTTATTATTAATGTCGGGCTCCATGTTAAAATCTTGAAATTTTGGGACTGCCTTTCTCCCTGGAAAGTGTCTAGATCCGCTTACGTTCCCACTTGGTCTTGTGGTGCAGTGCACGGACAACTCACTGTCACAACCACTCACGCAAACCCATCATCAAGTGACAATACTCTTTGTTTACCAAGCCACAGTGTTGTCGGTGATGAGGCACAGCCAAACAAAAAACGGCCGTCAGTTGAAAACAAGAGAAAAATCACATCAAGTGGATTAGGCGCCGAGGCACCTGCGAAGGCTGTTTATAAATCAGCGTGATGACGGGGTGAGCGGGGTGAGACTGAGGCTCCCACTCTCAGCTCAGAGGGACAGACGACGGTAACGAATCATCGTGTGGGCGGGCACACGGCTCCGTGTCAAAGCTCCGTCTCCCAAGTCGCGAGCAACTCCGGGAGGCGAATCTGTGTGGTAATGATGCCCAGCCGTGAAAGAAGTTTAAAAATATCTCGAAACTTCCCACCCCCCACCCCGACCCCCAAGAGGAGCAAAATTATATAACCGTTGTTAGATTGAAAGGCTCTGCGTCTCTGAAAGTGTTATTTTTTGTCCAGATTCAGGATGTTTTGCTCATCAGAAAAGAGTGCTGCAGGTAAGTGATGCATTTGACGACAACCTGCGCTCAATGGGAGGAGGTCATATTCTTAGTTTTTTTCGGTAAAGTCACGTAGGTAAAAAATTTTTAAATTAATAAAAGTAAAATAAAATAAAAATCACGACGTTTCGGAGGCCACACACGCCTCCATCTTTAACTTTTTTTACCTACGTGACTTTACCGAAAAAACCCAAGAATATTAATCCTTGCAGTCACGAAAACTTCAAATCTGGGAGGAGGTCAGTAGATTCCCTCGACTGCTCCCGTCGTCTGGAACGTCCTCTCTGGCCTCACCAGACGCTCTCGCTTGACGCTCTCCTCTGCCTACGACGGACTCGTTCTCTCCATGATGGACTCATTCTCTCCATGCTGGACTCATTCCCTCCATGCTGGACTCATTCCCGCCATGCTGGACTCATTCTCTCCATGATGGACTCATTCTCTCCATGCTGGACTCATTCCCTCCATGCTGGACTCATTCCCTCCATGATGGACTCATTCTCTCCATGCTGGACTTGTTCTCTCCATGCTGGACTCATTCTCTCCATGCTGGACTCATTCTCTCCATGCTGGACTCATTCTCTCCATGCTGGACTCATTCTCTCCATGCTGGACTCATTCTCTCCATGCTGGACTCATTCTCTCCATGCTGGACTCATTCCCTCCATGCTGGACTCATTTTCAGCTGCACTGCATTGGAGTTTATTTGTCTCCTGCCTCTCACAACTCCCATAGAACCCCCCCCCCCCTCTTCCCCCAGCCCGCCAACAAAGTGTTGCTGCTGATGCCGTGAAGCACTGCTGTAGCAACCAAAACCCTGCAGACGAGACTCGAGAAGGTGAAACGAGTCCACGCTTTGCCTGCTGGTGACATATGTTGGGAGGAAAACTTATTTTCCCGTGCGGCAATTGGCCAATGGACCTAACGTAGCGAAACGCGTTCCCTTGGATAATTCGTGTAACTAAGTGTCTAGACGCCCTATGACCAAATAACCAGAATTTTTTCCCCTATCGCACGAGATCTCAGAAAGCTGAGCAGGATTGAGCGTGGATAGTGCTCGGATGGGCGACCACCACGTATTAAACAGGTGTTATAGGCTGCAGCAGAATCCATCGTTTTAATGTGCTAAACTGCATCGTCTATGCGTCCCTCGTTCTCACCAGGCCACACGCCGACCGGCGATGTGAAGCATGGTCATAGTAACCTCCACGACCCCGCGCAGCAGGGAGAGGCTCGGTATACCTATCAGCTGATTAAAAACAACAAAAAACACAGGGCCGTGCACGTCCGTGTCTCTAGAGCAATTGCGAACCCCGATCGTATTGTGCGGTGGTATCGGTGACGTGCACTGACGGAGCTGATGGCCCGCGTCCATGGAGGACGGATCGACGGGGAATGTCGATCCGAGGTCTTGGCGGTGGCTTTTGCGTTCGTGACTTGCGGTCCGAGTGAGCCACTCACCCTGCTGGCTCAGGAAGCTGTCGTGGTCCAGGGGTCGGTTGTAAAGTGCCGGGTAACGTCGCCCGCCCCCTCGCATGGCCCACGACGCCTCCTCCTCCGCCTCGTTCTCGTAGCCGCACAGATGCTCCTCCTCGAAGCCGCACGCTGCACCCGCACGGCGGAGGCGGTCACCGCTGACGAGCCTCAAGCACACCGATCGTACGACACGCCGAGTGTGGAGACGTATACAACGCAACTATTTATATTGCACCCGGTAAGGCCCACTGAGCTCTGTTTTAGAAGAAACCCTGGCCACAAATGATAGCTCAACGAAGTGGCTTATCACGTGTAAATGTAAAGCAGCCATATACTCTAAACTCATGTTGATTCTAAATGTGAAGGGGATTAATTGGAGGACCCGGAGAAAAATCAACACGACTACAGGGAGAGAGACATGCAAATTCCAAATATTGAGGAGTCAGAGTCGGGATAGAATCACAACCTCCTGTATACCAGGTGAGGTAGTTGACATCTCGCCACCGTGGCACCGTATACGTGAGCACAAAGAAATGCATGGAAAGTGAAAATATGTAAGCAAAAAATACCTATACAGCTGAAAATGTGTATTACAAAACACTCTGTACCTAAATCTTGACTTAAAGCTTTCGTGACTGCAGGAATTCATACTCTTTGGGTCTTTCGGTAAAGTCACGTAGATAGAAAAATACAATAAAAATCACGACGTTTCAATCGCAACACACGCAATCGTCTTCAGGTGAAAACATATTTCTCCTGCCTCAGCAGTTCGCCTGCTCTATTTTGTCAGACGATTGCTTAAGTTGCGATTGAAACGTCGTGATTTATTTTTATTGTTCTATCTACGTGACTTTACCAAAAGACCCAAAGTGTACTCTATACTTACCTGAATAAGAGATACATAAAAATATATTTACACGTAAATAGGTAGGTCTCATACATGCTAACGACTCCCTGTATAGCTTATAACAGACTGTTGGGGTAATTGCTGTTAGCGAGCACATCGAAAGGCAAACACGGTGCTCAGATAATAAAAGTCGGTCCTCCGGCTTGCAGCGCAGCGTGCTAACCACTGCGCCACCGCTCCCCAGACATAACGACAACGATGCCCTGCATGGCCCTACAACAGACTAGTTTGGGCCAGTGCCGTTCGTGGGAGCGCACACTTGCACACACGATACCACCACCTCCACAGGTTACTCGAACCGGCCATCAAGAACAGAATGACCCCGTGACATCACGGTAATACAACCCCTGCCCTTTTTTTTGACTACGCTCAAGAAAATGCCGTGTCAGAAGTAAACGTCTCGGTGAGCGAAAGCCACGAGCTATGAGGGGGTAGAGAGGAAGCAGCACAAACGAGGCTTGGGGGTAGGGGAGTGCACAGGAAAGTTGGGTCACTCATGGATAGGGTGAAGGAGGTGGGGGGGTAAACAGCAGCACTTATACAGAACACGACAGGAGACACGGACAATCACAACCACATGTGTGGCCAGAAGCGATGGGGGGGGGGGGGGTCGGGCTGTGTAAAGCGAGCAGTGGGGGGCGAGTCTCACCCAGGCAGAACCTGTCCGAGAGGCTGATTTCCTCTATCGCCACCACCACAGCTCCCTCGCTCAGCGTAGCCTCGAACACCAGCTGTGGGAGCAAGGAGGCGGTGAAGGAGACGGCGCGTGCCACGTGGCGGCTGCCCGCGCCTGTCATCCGGTGACACGGAGGCGAGGTTGGTGGACCACGGGAGAGACTTGGCCATTATTTGAAAGCGCATGTGCACCAGGAGGGCCGGAGGTTTGCTATTTATTAGCGGCAGTAATGCAAGTAGGTTTTTCACCGATTTTTTTAAAAACCTATTCAATAACTAAATGTTAAAGTACCTCTCTGCTCGGGGGGGGGGGGCATTGGTGAAATGCATTGTGCACTGATTTGTGAACCCGATGACTTGCGTTCGATTCCCAGTCACGGTAAACATTAGCGACGAGTGATATCCGAACCGGTCCCTGGACGAGCACTTTGCAAGGGCTGGTATGGAGCAAAATAAGTTCAACGTATGTACATACAAGCCAGCAGTCGATGAACAAAGTGGTGCAATTCTTTTTTTTTAATGAACCTCCACGCTCAAACAATTGTGGAGCTTCATCTCCACTCGCGGTCCTGAGCTCGTGGTGGAAATCCTAAATCTCCTCTTTTGCAGACCCATATCACCACGTGCTGCAATCTGAGGTATGTAAATGTATTCTTGGTTCTTTCGGTAAAGTCACGTTGATAGAAAATAACAATAACAGATAATAAAATAATAAAAATATAATAAATTGAAAATAATAAAAGCAAAAAAACCCACGACGTTTCGATCGCAACACAAGCGGTCGTCATTTTTATTAAATTTTATTATCTGTTATTTTTTATTACATTTTCAATCTACGTGACTTTACCGAAAGAACCAAGAATATGAATTCCTGCAGTCACGAAAGCTTTGAGCATGTAAATGTGCTATTTTATTCATCTTGAAGGGACGGTGGTCTGAGCTTGGACTCGGAATCCTGACCTGAAATCACAATCTCACAAGCGGCGTCATTGTTGCTCAACCAGTAATTACCAAGTGCCCTTGTGCGCACACAATCGTTTGGCTTTGCTTATCTCCACCCCTACCACGGACCGAAATGCCACATTCCTACGGCAGTGCTTGGCCACTCCGTATGACGACCACTGCTGACGATGCGGTTATTGCCAGCTGAGCAGTCTAGACTCAAACCGACGTGCAAAAAAACACGTCTCACTGCCCCCCAGACGATTTAAAAAAACACAGAAACGCGCATTGAAACACAACGCAAATGCGCACGCACTTCAGCGGAGTGTTACGCGGATTTCAGTGTTGTTTCTTCAGTCGGCATGGGACACGTTGGCACCCTTCCACGGCGTTACAATGTCTCTGCAGGCTCCCGTCCTGGCCACGGTACGGCTACTGCCGAACCAGCGCAGGCAGCGGCAACATCTGCAGCGGCGGTAACTCCACGTGGCACCCGGCCAGCCCAATGCCCTAAACCACCCTTTCAATTAATAAACACCAAAATGGCAGACCAGACGTTCTGCTCTCTAACACCCCCGTATAACCGACAGAGATTAAATCTGGTGGTTATTGCAAACATGATTAGCCGAGGTATACCGAGCTCTGCGATCTTACATTTACTTGCAAATTCCATCTCTAGCCCTGCCCACTTACCCTTGGGTTGTGCCCTTCTCAGACCTATATAACCTTTGACTGCAGCGGCTCTCTCGCTGCATTTCTTCCTGCCTCAGCAGTCTGCCTGCTGTGCTTTTTCACCTGAAGACGATTGTTTGTGTTGCGATCGAAACGTCGTGATTTTTTAAAATAATTTAATTATTTTTCTACCTACGTGACTTTACCGAAAGACCCAAAGAGTGTGCCTACAATCTAGATCTGAAGTTTGTCTACAGAGATTGTTGAAGCTGCTTAGTTTGTTACCCTTCTCCATGCACCTTCGACTAGCACGGTTGGCTACGTACGTTGCGAAATAAGTTCAACATATATACAAACGTACTCTTCTGCCCTTCTTGCCGTCATTGCACCGGCCCACTGGGCGAACGGCAATTCGCCTGGCGAGTTCGTCCTCGAGTTGGGCGCGCACGCACTCGTCAGGAGCCAATTGAGCTGCCGGCCGATTGAAACTGAGTTGAGATCTCGAGTTGAGCCGAGAGTGTGATGGGCCCAATGGGGAAGGCAAATCCTTGCTGCTTGCCTCACCCACAGCTCCTACGTTGACAGGGGCTTGGGTCTGCCAACCTGGATGGAAACGTTTAAGCGCGTTGCTGAAATCGTTGACAGCTGCCCACTGTGCTGGTGTCGAATTGCGACGGTGGTTGGAGTTGGTGGGAAGCCTCAAGCCAACACAATTATGACCTTATAACATGAGTCATGCTGTTATTGTTTTTGTTTTTTGGTGGGGGGGGGAGGGGCGGGGGGTGGGAGTACTTGCTGAATTCACAAACCCAATCTTTGGAGACTGACACGGTGACTCATGCTGTAAATAAAAGACAAAGATCCCCCGTAAAGCCTTCACAGACTTTTGGGGCAAGTGCTGTTAGCGAGCACCTATGAACGCCGGCACGGCACACGAGGGGGTGGGTGGCCAGCACCACGCCCGGCCGCCTTTGTCTCCCCAGTGGCGATGTTACACACAGCACCAGGTACTAATTTGAGGCTGAGTTGACCTAGGGGAGGCCCAGGACCGGTTCAGATAATCGTCACCGGTGTTGGCTAACCGCTACACTACCGCTCTCCACAACGTGATAACCACTGGCACACATCTCCACACACAACCACGCATTCACACACACACACGCTGAATCAGTTCTAGTATTTGGCTGTAGTTAAAGAATTTCGATAAATTGTAGAAGAGTTAAATAAACAGCAGCTCTACCTTGTGAAACATGTTAAATACATGCGCCTTTTGGCGTCATCTGGTCCAACACCATATGAGACTAGGCTCTAAGGAAAGCTGTCTCGGGTGTGGACCAATCAACTTCAAGGACAGTGCATACATTATCAGAGTTATGTTTTTTGTTTGCATTATGACTGCAGGTATTGTGGTCTATGCAAACATGACTCCTTGTAAAAAAAGTGTCAGTTTGGTTGCCAGAGATGAAAGAGTAAAAAAACAATTATCACACATGCCTGCATGTATGGTACAATGCAACATTTCTACCGACAAGAAACATGCGGGAGTCAGTTTCCAGATACTCGTTGTGAGATCCGGCCAAAAGTCACTGAGCTGGGTGACGACACTGAAGAAACCCGTGAAACTCGAAACAATGACTGTGTGCAAATGTGACAGCTGACACGTTCCTGAGCTCATAGAATGCATGCTGTGGTTTCACTGCTTTACACGTGACATCCTATGACAGCATCTGAGAAATGTTTGAATAAACATGCAGTTTTCCTCATAAAATGTATTTTTCTTAGCATTTCTATGAGCTACAAACATAAAAAAGAAAGAACAAAAAGGCGAGACACGCAGGGACACAATGTACATACAAAAGACTAGGATACCCCCATGTAGCCTGGATAGATTGTTGAGACAAGTGTTGTTAGTGAGCGCCTATTAAGGGCTGACACGGTGCACAAGGAAGTGGTTTGGCCAACTCCATGCCCGGCCACCTTTTTCTGCTCAATGCAGATGATTACACACCGCACCGAGTACTCATTTAAGGCCGAGTCTACCTCGAGGAGGCCCGGCCGTGCGCTAACCGCTGAGCTGCCGATTTGAATGATCTTTTGACAATTCGCATTTTTATTCCAGTTCAGCGATCCCATTGGAATTGTATCGCAATCGAATGATTCCACCCTCAACCAGTATATATACAAGGACTGTCTTCTTGGAATTTCTCTTACTTGATACAGCTATCGTGCTGTGACGGTTCCACCTGAAGACAGAGGCTTGTGTTGCCTCCGAAACGTCGTGATTTTTATTTTATTTTTATTTTACTTTTATTAATTTTAAAAAAAATTTTACCTACGTGACTTTACCGAAAAAACCTAAGAATATGAATGATTCACACCAAACGTGGCCGTTCAAAGTCGGTCTTTACTATGCAAAATGTTCAGAATCCTGGGGGTGGTGAGATTGACTGGAGGAGCTATGCCCACGCTTAATTAATAGAGAGTGCGGGGCAGATATGTTGCGAGTGAGCATTCATGGAATTTCCATGCACATGTATTACAGGAAATTGCTATAAATACTACATATGCTTGTCTTTTTTTAAATGCTCTACTCTGGTGTGCATGTAATGCATAATGTACAGCATGTGGAAGGGGAATATGCTTCAGGCCGTACATACATCCATAACAGAGGTTTTTTTTGGGTTAGATCGCGTAAATATATAAATGTGTCGTTAAAACCGCCACCACCCGACACAGCCGACTAGTAAGGGTTGTCACGCAAACAGAACGTGGCCAATTCGTCACTAGTACAGCACACCGGTGTGTCGGAGAGCCAAGCCACAACATTTACAATCTGAGTACGACGTTTCGCCAGAAAATTACAACTAGCTTCATCAGGCGACAGCCAGATTTGGTCGCGAAAGCCTACGTGTTACACGTACGTACATGCAACTGGTACATATGCACAGCCCTTTTGCCAATCCACTGCTGGATGAGGGCTGCCCCACACCATGCCAGCCAAGGGGGTAAGCTCACGATAACGTCCGAGTGGGTGATGGCTGGGGACATGGACGCTGGAGCATAGAAGAACCGTACAACAGTGGATCCTGGTGCACTCGCTCCTTTGCTCTCTGTTCTGTGATTGGTGGTCACCCAAACACGCCCTATCCCAGGACCAACCTGCTTAGCTTCTGAGATCCTAAGACACTGTGCACATTTGGTCATTGGCATATGCGTGCATAAGCTTGACGCGTATATAAATAATTTTTTTCGAACCAGACCACAGTCCAATACGTTCATGCATCTGAGGAATAAATTAAGAACGATGATAGATGGCGCTTGCTTGGTGCAGCCAGACAAGCGTCCCAGCGCTCTTGACACCGCTGAAGCCTCCGGTCGAAACGGAAAATCCAGAAAAGCAACGACATTCATACCAGAGAAAGTTCAATTTGCTGCATTACCCACGCTGATGATTCAACGGGCGGAAAGAGCCGTGGCGCCGTGGTTAGCGTACGGCGCGGTGAAACGGCGACCAGAGTTCGAATCCCTGGTTTACGGTTGGCATCAGTGGCAACTCATATCTGACCCGGTTTTTGACCAGCCCTTTGTTAACCCGCACTGACCAGCGTGGTGAAGTATGGTCAAACAACCCCGATGATTGACAATTGTGTCGGCGGGGGGGGGGGCGAAGAGGACTTCATACCAGCAGTGGACAAAAGGGTCATGCAGGAAACAGGAACCTTTTTTCAACAAACACACGCAACTTCTTGTATTTTTAGCAACTTCTATCATCCGTTAGGTGCCCAGGCTCTTACACTAAGGGTATAGAAGTAGCAGGCGGTGCTCACTAAATTTAGCGAGACGAAACCACACCAATTGCGGACGTAAGTGCACATGTTTACGTTTTTCTCATTGCCGGCGTGATTAATCACACGCAGCAGAAACCAGTCATCGCTTGCGTCTCGAGTGTCTGGCGTGGAAATCACGTGGGCCACGGCGGCGTCGCGAATCTGAAGGCTTACTCCTTCGGAGAGGTTTCCTGGGCATCTGTTCTTGCTTAGACGTGAAAGGGGGGGGGGGGGGGGGGCTGACTGGCGCTGCCGTGAGCGTTAATCGCAAGGGGAAGTTGCCCCGAGTCGTCATGCACAGCCGTTGCCGGGACCTCTCGAGCCACAACGCTCTGGGGCTGAGCGGCAAGAAGTACGTTTTTGTTCAGGGTTAGATCGCGTAAAATCCGTAAATATACAAACCCGCAAACACCCAACGCAGCCAATTAGTAAGGTTTGTCACGTAAGCAGAACATGCCATCGGTGTGTTGTAGACCAAATCCACTACATTTACAATCTGAGTACGACGTTTCGCCAGTAATTACAACCAGCATCATCAGTCGGCAGCCAGATTTGTTGATGATATTGGTCGCGAAAGCCTACGTGTTTCAGTCTACATTCTACCCCCTGCCCCCCTCTCACCCGAAGACCTCTACCGTGCGGTAACTTCTGTACCATAAAAGACTGCCCAGGAAATCGAGCCTAACGGCTCATTGGGCCTTTCCTGCTGAAATACATAAACACAATTACAGAAAATAAACACATTTGCAAATACATAATCGCATTTTATACACTGACATACCATTCACACCACAGCATACTGGTATTCGTGAACGAAAGAATCACGGTCATGAATAGTGTAAACCAGACACCTAAACTGTTTTTTACTTCATTGCATATCATCAATAGGGAGTGGCCTTGGCATAGTGGGATTCCTAAGCCAACTGCACAGTGTCAGCTTGCAAGGTCAAATCGCTTCCCATCGTGCACATGCTGAGTAATACACTCGTCATGTCGTGTCCACGATCATCATACATACATGTGTTGGACTGGATCAACTGCTGTTAGGAAGCATCACCACGGCAGGATGACAGTGACATTCCCTTTCGGACAGTGCCGCTGTCCACTGCACTCGTTTTTTCGGGTTGTGCCAAACAGCTCTCCGATGCGTTTTCGGATTTTGCAAAGTGCTGCTCATCACGATGTCTGACGTTTAGCTGCAGATACTGGGAGCTTCTTCGAGAGCCCATGTCCTGAACAAGTTCCTGGCACATGAATTCGGTTTCAGAAGAAATTTCCAGGACACGGAGCGAAACGTCGGACATCATTTGACGATTCACTCCGGATTGAAAACTCATTTCTTTAGAACTGCTTTTGTGATAATTGGATTTTTACCCTTTTATCTGGCACCTTTTTTTTACAAGAGTCATGTTTGCATAGACCACAATACCTGCAGTCATAATGCAAACAAAAAACATAACTCTGATAATGTATGCATTGGACCAGATGACGCCAAAAGGCCTTTTGGCGTCACCTGGTCCAACACCATGTTATACTAGGCTCTAAGGAAAGCTATCTCGGGTGTGGACCAATCAACTTCAAGGACAGTGCATACATTATCAGAGTTATGTTTTTTGTTTGCATTATGACTGCAGGTATTGTGGTCTATGCAAACATGACTCCTTGTAAAAAATGTATCAGTTTTGGTGCCAGATAAAAGGGTAAAAAACCAATTATCATATTTATTACTGACAAATGAGGTTCCAATGGTGTAACTGCTTAGTTTTTTGTCCTTCCCCGCACCTCCGATCAGCATTGGTTGGCTACACACGGTGCAAAAAAGTTCAACATCAATACATACATCCTGCGCACATAAAAGTTTAGTCAAGAAACAAGGTTACGCAATGTTACGTTATAAACTTTAGTGTGCCTGCCAACAGTGAGTTTTTTGGCATGCTTTTTAAGTCGTTTTGGCCCACTGTCGCTGACTGTGAAGTCCAATGCCTTCCCCGCACCTTCAATTTGCACGGTGGGCTACGTACGGCGCCGCAGAAATTCGACACAACAGCACACGTCCACTCTGAGCATCACGCAGCGCGACCTGAAAACATGCCGCAGAGCAGCGCGCGCCGTCGCCGTGCCGAAGCCGCCCGGCTCGCCGACCCTCACCTGGAAGGGCTCGTCAAAGGGGCCCACGTCGAACGCCCCGAAGCGCCAACCCTCGTCGTTCACGTCTCCCCGGGCGGCACTCGTCCACACGGCGGCGGCACCGTCGGCACCGTCGCCCGCAACGAAGGCACCGCGGACGAGGGCCCGCGCCGCCAGGCCCGCGCGGGGACCGCCGCTCACGCGGTACACGAGCTCCACGCACGCACGCCGGCCCGCCGCCATGGACGGGCCCAACAGGCGCGACGCCGGAGCCTCCGGCGGCACGGACTTGCCCACCGACATGACGCCGTCTATGGGGGGCGGGGGGGGGGAGGCACACGCACCGAGAGAGCTTGCGGGAGGAGACGTCAGGCAGCCACCCGTCCCAGGTGGGTTTTTTTTTTTTCGAGGATTGAACTCCCATTTTGAAGGAGCTGTCCTGGCAAAAATCTATGAAGTTTTCCCAGAACGTTCAAAATCCCGGTTTTTGTCAGTTGCGTAATGATACGCCGCGCTCACGACGATTCACGTACATGCCGTCTCCACTCTTCATAGCTCATCGGATTCCTCCAGCGTACATATTCTGATTCTGTAATTGTGAGATGATATGTCCTGGTGTTTTTTGTGCCTCAGAAGTGGCACGCTCAGTGGAGCTGTCAGATAATTAAAAAGTAAAGTCAGTGTACCCCTCTGTCAAGAGAGAAAAAATGGCAGTGCCTGAATCTGCACTCCTCAATCGGCAGCCCTGAGTCAGCGGTGGAAATTGCACATTCTCATGGCAGGGGCGAACCTCTGATGACCTCCACAAACGGCATGCTCATTCCATAGGCTAGACAGGGTTAATGGGCAACGCCAATCTCTGGCCAAGAGTTTGAATTTCTATTCTTCCGATGGCGAATTGAGGCACCTAACCACGGTGCCAGTGGGCTGGACAGCGAGCCCTGGCAGTCTGAGGCATATGCAGGCGAGGACTGGGCCACCAAATTTCTGGGCATTTGGCTAGAAAGCAACGAGACCTGTTCTTATGCATGGTGGTCGCCCAGTAGCTTAACGAGAGTGGGGGCATGGGGGGGGGGCCTTCCCCCCCCCCCCTGGTGGCCAAAGCTACGAGTTAGGCCCCTCTTGACAACCAACATGAGATACGGTGTCAACAACAGTGTAAAAGAACAAAATAACGTATTTAGAGCGTGGTTTACATTAACATTTTAGCAGAATGCTTTATTTACGGTCCACATTTTGTTTTAATTTAATTAGAGCAGGCTTGGGGCCCCATCTGACCGATTGCTGCACCCACTGAGCCGATAATATAGTTACGTAGGTAAAATAACAATAACATTAACATTAATAAAAGTAATGATAAAATAAATAAAATCACGACGTTTCGGAGACAACACAAGTCTCCGTCATCAGGTGGGACCGTCACAGCTAGATTTACTGTATCATACTCTTAGGGAAAAAACCTAAGAGTATGAATCCTTGTAGTCACGAAAGCTTCAAATCAACGACAATATAGTTACTACGTCACTGTTGCCGCCCTACTAGATATGTCCAGGTTCAACCCTGGCGAGATGCGCATGAATTGACCGTATTTGGTAAGCGGCGTGTACGCTTTTATTCCCGGAAGTTTTGTGTGAGAATAATGTGGGCTTACAAAATGTCTATACGCACGTACTAACTAAACTAAACTTTTAATTCGACCGGGTAAGGCGCACTAAGCTATATACAGTCGCTCTTGTTCAGAATGGACCTGGGACCAAATGATGGGCTCAACGAAGCGGCTTATCTTCGTCTGGAAATGTATAGTAACCAGAGGTCGCAACCGGGTACCCGATACCCGTACCCTACCCGATACCCGGCTACCCGTACCCGGCCGGGTATGGGTACCCGTTTGCGACCCTGGTGCGGCTGGGTACGGGTACGGGTAAACCGTGAGTCACTGGTGAGTAACTGTTTGTCACTCATTTCCCAACGTCTTGTCTCTTCTCACAATTCAAGTTCCTAGAATCAACCCACCCACGCCTGCAACATGGCTTCATCCCAGAGGTCGCAATCAGGTACCCGATACCTGTACCCTACCCGTAACTGGCCGGGTACGGGTAGGGTACGGGTACGGCCGGGTACGGGTACGGCTACCCGTTTGCGACCCTTGTGCGGCCGGGTACGGGTACGGGTAAGAAATCAAAACACGTTTGCGACCTCTGATATAACAGCCACACACTCTCAACACGTGTTTCTAAATGTGGAGGGGAAAAACCGGCGGACCCAGAGAATGTTATTTTAAGCAATTCAACTAAACAGCCTTTGCAGATGCTGTTGGGTGTGTGTGTATGTATGAACATGTGTGTAAACATCGCCACTGGGGAGACAAAGGCGGCCGGGCGTGGTGCTGGCCACCCACCCCCTCGTGTGCCGTTCCGGACGTCATAGGTGCTCGCTAACAGCACTTGCCCCTACAGTCTGTTAAGGCTATACGGGGGATCTTTGTATTTGTATTAACATGTGCGCGTCCTTTCGTGTAAGCGTGTGCGCGTGTCTAAACGAGTCATTGCAGAGTTGTGCCGGCACACACAAGCAGAGGCAATCGCATGCAGTCACACACAGAAACAGATGTCCATACGGCCCCGCAGACTTGCTGCAGCACGTGCTGTTAAGTAGGCATCTAAATCAGCTGAGCATGGCACAGAACACAGTGGTATGGCGAACACGTATGGGGCCGTCCATAAATGACGTCACGCGATTTTGGAAGATTTTTGACCCCCCTCCCTCGTCACATGGCGTCACACACACCTACACACACACCTACACACACACCTACATACACACACCTACACACACACCTACATACACACACCTACATACATACACACACACCTACATACACACACCTACACACCTACATACACACACCTACACACACACCTACATACACACACCTACACACACACCTACATACACACACCTACACGCACACCTACATACACACACCTACACACCTACATACACACACCTACACACACACCTACATACACACACCTACACGCACACCTACATACACACACCTACACACACACACACCAACACACACACACCTCTACATACACACACCTACACACACACCTACACACACACACACCGACATACACACACCGACATACACACACCTCCAGACACACACCTACATACACACACCTACACACACACACACCAACACACACCCCTCTACATACACACACCTACACACACACCTACATATACACACCTACATACACACACCTACATACACCACAATGCACAGTACCACCCACACAACCACTTAAACGCACAAGATAGCCAAAGATGAGCCTTCATTTCCTCTCCTGGTGGTTGAATGTAATTACTCGAGCTGACTTCAGAGTTTACTAAGTGTCAATCTAGATTTGAATCTAAGTGTGTTGCGCTCTACGCTTCCCTACCTTTCGGTGATTGCATCTCCATAATCTGTACAGTCATAACACACTCGCCTTCAGGAGGCCTTCTAAAGAATATATTAAATTTTCTTGGTTCTTTCGGTAAAGTCACGTAGAAGGGAAATAATAAAATAACAAAAATAAAACATCATAAAATAATTCTCACGACGTTTCGGCCACAACGCAAGCAGCCGTCCTCAGGTGAAGACCAGCTCTCCCCGACAGACCTGGTCTTCACCTGAGGACGGCTGCTTGCGTTGTGGCCGAAACGTCGTGAGAATTATTTTATTATTTTTTATTTTTATTATTTTATTATTTCCCTTCTACGTGACTTTACCGAAAGAACCAAGAAGATGAATCCCTGCAGTCACGAAAGCTTTAAATCGAAATATATTACATTATTATTATTATTTAAAACCCGTGTTCAAGTATCTGCTTTAGAGCAAATATAATACATCTCATTACAAATACTGGATAATAATTGTCGTTTATCCAGTAAAGGGGCCGTCCATAATGACGTCACGCGATTTTGGACGATTTTTGACCCCCCCCCCTCTTCGTCACACGGCGTCACAAAAAGTCAGACCCCCCCCCTCAAATATGACGTCACAAAGATCTTCCGCCCCCCAGTTTTTTTTCATAAAACATGCTTCAAATCGCTTTAAACTATTGTCATTGTAGTGCGTATTTAATGTGGCGCTGCACTGTGATGTTGTAGGAGAAAACATTTATTAAAAAGTCAATTTAATTAAGTTGAACGTGTTGTCTATATTTATTTAAAGTTGCGCATTTTGATGTGACGTCACATTTCTCAACCCCCCCCCCCCCCCCTGTTACACATCGTCACAAATGTCTGACTCCCCCCCCCCCCCAGGTGTGTGACGTCATTTATGGACGGCCCCAAGTCTTTATCCGATTCTGAAGATGCATGAATACTCAGTAACGAATTGGACAAAGGGGCCATGAATGACGATGCAGGGCTCTCTGCGGCCTCGTTTGCAAGTGGGAATGGACCTGAGACTGGCAAGAAAGCCGCGCTTACAAAGGAGGAGGAGGAGGTACACTTCAATATTCATACAGATCCAGAAACATGCTTTGTGTGCTGCCCTCTGTTGGCCACCTGGGATCTCTACAGGAAGGGGCATTGGGCATTTAATTCATACGATGTCCGTCAATGCGTGATCCACCAACGCCGCTTTTTTGTTAAAGTGCCGGTCTTTGCACGCATGTGCCACCACGCCCATCAACATTAAAAACAATTTGAACCGTAACAAAATAATTAATTACCAGCGCTTTGTCAATCCAATGCATGAAGGGCACCCCATGCCGTGTTGGTCACGTGGGTTCCGTGTTGGTCTGGTGGTCACGTGGGGCTGTTGAAGGGGGCTCCTCGGAACGTTTCAAATATCCCTCGCCGCTGATGTGAGCCGTAGCTGGGAATTGAACTCAGGGCACCGGGCTGAGGGTGCGGGGTATCATCGCCTGCACTTCTGCTCAAGGCCCCTCCGCCCCCATTGCTGAGGGACTACTTTTTATTGTTTTTATTGCTTTGATTAATTTTTATTTTTAAAATTCTTTTTTTACGTGATTTTACCGAAAGAACCAAGAATAGGACTACTCCGTGTTAGCTTGGTATGGTGTGGGACTGTTTTGTTTTTGCTGCCTTGCTCAATCTTGATCAATCAGACTTATATAATGAATGAATATATGTATTATTTAGTGACTTGCCTACCGTGTTCTCTAGTGTGCACTCCTGTCGTTTTGTGTTTGTATTGTTTGCTGTTGTAACTCGATGAACTGTCCTTACTGGAGCTTCATAGCTCATCGGATTCCTCCTGCAAGTCTAAATAAAATATCCTGACAATGAAAAGGACATAAATGTAATTCCCTGTCAAGCGAGCATTCTTTGTCTTGTTCCCACTGGCGAGCGAGAGGTGAATTTACTTAATCACTACGTGTCAGAATAATAACAGCGTCTTAATTGACATACTCGTGCAGCGTTCAGAGTGGCGGCTGAATTTGACCGCTTTGGCAAATGCGCTTGGAGATGTGTCGAATGTTTAGTAATCGTGTCGAAAATGTATAACGGAAGACCACGGAATTCTCTGGCGCCGTTCTCTCCAAAAATAAACGCTATATCATTCGTTTCCACTGGGCCATTCTGCACCAACGCAACACTGAGTGCGGCATTAAATCAATTCCACTTACGTACCACGTGTGCATCCAAGTCGCAGCAAGGCCAGTGTGTGATGCACGTGGTACGGCATATAGGAAGAGGCATGCCCACGACAACACGAGAAGGCCACAGGTTATAATTGAGAAAGCCTTGGGCTAGTGCCGGTGGTGCACAAGTCACAATTATTTACCGTAGAAAGCCTCTGTGAGTCACAATACTTTTTGCACGAGGGTCCTGCGTTGGGGAAGTTTTTGCCAAATCCCATGAATGAGTGTTCAACATGTGGGAGGAAACTGGAAAACCCTGATGAAACCCATACATACTCGGGAATAACACTCAACACTGCCATCTCCTGGCCACCTTGCAGCTGCACGCATACACCACCTGGCGAGCCCTGGTGAGTTACTGACCAACCCGACCATGTTATTGCAAGCAGCCGTCCTCAGGTGAAGACCAGGTCTGTTGGAAAGACAGCGTCTGTTCTTCACCTGAGGACGGCTGCTTGCGTTGTGGCCGAAACGTCGTGAGAATTGTATTTTATTGTTTTATTTTTATTATTTATTATTTCCCTTCTACGTGACTTTACCGAAAGAACCAAGAAGATGAATCCCTGCAGTCACGAAAGCTTTAAATCGAAATTTAACCCGACCATGCTTAATTTATCTTTGTGTCTGTTTCACTTGGTCGGTCGAAACGCCAAACATTCATTGATGGAATCGGCCAAGGATCCCAATGCAAGGATCCCTTCTCACAAAATTCTTGAGACTCATGTGAGGTCGCTGCCCCAGGAGCTGAAATAAAACGAATCCGCTGCCAGTCGACTCACCGCGCCAAACCCACTGGAACTCCCCGGATCTGTCGTTTGTGAACCCGCAGGTGCCGCGCTTGAAGTGGCAGGACGGGGATTCCCTCCCGAAGCGAGTTCCGTCGTCTGCCGGCCGCGTCCCGGTGCCGGCCTGCCTGCCCCTGTGCCGTCTCCTGGCAGCAGCGCCCGCCGCCGCGGGGTGCCCGGTCCTCCCGCGCCGGCCGCCTCCCGGGGCGCTTCTCTCAACCGCGAGGCCGCCCCCATCCGTGCCGGAGCCGGGCTCTCGGTCCGGCCCCGCCATGCCGAGGTGAGCGTGGCCGGATCCCGCGTCCGCACGGAGCCGCTCGACGGGCCCTCGGTTCAGCAGTAGACGAGGCCGCCACGTGACGCTGGAACTGCTGCTGCTGCGTCGACGAGGGCCCGGCCCGGCCGCATCTGTCAACGGGGGGTGAGGGGGGTTGAAACAAGAGACGGATATAGAAAGTGGATTTAGAAACCTGATCGAGGTTTGGGAGGTAGGGTGGTCTTGAAATTTCAGGGTTTTTTTTTGTTTTATAGGGCCATACATTAATAGTGATGAATGTACATTCTGGAGAAAAAAAATATTATATTAATATTTGGGGTCTCAAGGGGAGAGGGGAAGGTGGGGGAGGGGCGGTCGGGGGTGATTGCTACCATCCCCCTTCCCGTAGGTCCCGACAATTCGATGAAAAGCCACACAGCAACATCGCCCCCGACTGGCAAAATACATCTCAACTCTTTGCTTTCCCACCTGATGACGGACGCTTGTGTTGCGCCCGAAATGTCGTGATTTGTTTTATTTTATACCTACGTGACTTTACCGAAAGAACCAAAGAGTATGGATTCCTGCAGTCACGAAAGCTTCAAATCGAGATTAAAATATATCGATTAATTACGAAGGTGATCGTAAGTGGCTTTTTGCGAGTTCTGCATACATTTACTGACACTTTAAACACGCACCGTGGACTTATAGATGCTTAATGAGAAGCGGGAATTTCGTGTCTAATTTATTTAAACAAATCTGAGTCCACTGAGATTCACGGGATTGAATTACCCCTTGTATTATGTTGGTATGTTGAACTTTATTTTGCACCGTACGAACCCAACCGTGCTAATCGGAGGTGCGGGGGAAGGACAACAAACTAAACCCAATAAACATATTACAGATACTCAAATGATGGACTTTGCATTGCACTATAAACTCTGTGACCTGAGTTTGATTTCTGGCCATGGCAAACCATCAGTGGTGAATGTTTTCCAAACTAAGGCTGTGCTCACCCCCACTTCACCAAACTGCATTGACCAATGTGGTGAAGTATGACCGACACAGCGTAGAGAAGGCTTCATCAGCAGTGGATTGACAAAGGGCTGTCGATTATTGATGTACAACTCTTCTGAAGAATCTTCCACCACCAACATAGACGATGCTACTCAATGGTACGCGAGGGCATTGGTCCGCTTACAATTGTTTTAGGCTTTTAGTATCAAACGCTTTAAAAAGTACCCGTAAAATTTAGTTATGAACGTATTATATGGTATTTAATTTCAGGTGCATTAAGAAAACCCTCTGGATGCAAAACGTTGTCGGCCAACACTTGAAAATAAGCTCATCAACGCGGTCCTCCAATTTTGGGAGGGCCAAATAAATGTACATTTTTCAGTTTACATTTTTTTATAGACTTTAATATCTTTATAGCTAATTTCATCTCTATAGTCCTTCTAGAACATCGTCAGAATTCGCATCACTCTGTAACTCACAACTGCCTAGAAATGTCAAGATATTTCAAGATCTAATGAAGCTGATAATGATGATGATGAATATGGTGAAGTATTGTCAGGCTGGACTTCCACGGTTTTGCCAATAAAGTTCCTGACAAGTTGAATCAAGATGTCGCATGTGATTGCGATCAATTTTCTAAAAAAACGCAGGATTCGAGCGACAACGCAGCTGTTTTTGAAACTAACATCGTCGGGTCTCTAACATCCACCTCACAGAAGGAAATGAACTCTGGCTAATTTACCACTAGAACGACTGACAGCTTTAAGAATAAAGCCGGAAACGCACAACATTGACCGAGGAGTGAATGCATTGACCATCACTAATCGGCCAACAGTGGCCCGTGCCGGTCACCTCAATTCAATTCACGCGCAGCGCACACGCGAATGAGTCGCTCGCTTGACGTTGGAGCATCGTTACAAGACGTACTCACGTGACACACAGAAGCAGCAGCAACAGCAGCAATAGCCCAGCAACAGGAGCAGGGGGGTGCTCATGATGCCACGTGTCGAGCTGCCCTCCTGCTGCCCTCCTGCTGCCCCCCACACGGCTCCGACCTAGGTTCACCTCCTGCTGCTACTGCTGCGCGAAGCTCCTAACAACACGCACACGCAGCCTCGGGGCTAACGCAGTGGCCCCGCTTGAGAGAAAGAGAGACACCGCCTTGCTGAAGCAGCAGTAATTCAAACAGCCACTTCTCCCGCACTCTCGGGCGCAACGCCGTTCTGTTTGCGATGCCTCCTCTTTGCAGCTGCTGAACGTTAAAGTCCAGTGGGGCTCCTCGTGCCAAGCCTCCGGTGCGGGAAGCGACGCTGGAGGTACGAATGGAGTGGAATTCAAACAGAGTGCATAGCTCTCTCTCTCTCGGTGAGTCTCACACTCTGTGTGTGTGTCTCTGCAAGTCAGCTGGTTCTTGAAAATGAAGCTGCAGAGACGGGGGTCCCTCCCCACCCCCCTCGCCCCCACCCCCTCACCCCCCTCGCCCCGCCTTTTCAGCAAAAATCCCACAGCCCCCTCCCCTCCCACCTCCACTTGCCTCCGGCGCGGGCTAAGTCAGAGATGGCAAACACCAAAGAGAATTCGTGAAATAAAACTCAGCACGTGCTTCGATGAACGCCGTGGTTTTAAAATGGGGGGGCGGGACCAAAGTATACAATAGGTCGACGTTTCGGGGAAATGGCCCCTTCTTCATAGCAGGCTGCCAATGCAGTATCCCCAGATAAGTTGGTGGGGGGGGGTCTAGCACAGGGACAGGGGGGGGGCAAGCTCAGGAACAGGAGGAGGGGGTCTAGCACAGGAACAGGGGGGGGGGGCAAGCACAGGGACAGGGGGGGGCAAGCTCAGGAACAGGGGGGGGGTCTAGCACAGGAACAGGGGGGGGGCAAGCACAGGGACAGAGGGGGGGGGTTAGCACAAGGACAGAGGGGGGGGGGGGCAAGCTCAGGAACAGGGAGGGGGGTCTAGCACAGGAACAGGGGGGGGGGGTTAGCACAGGAACAGGGGGGGGGTTAGCACAGGAACAGGGGGGGGTCTAGCACAGGGACAGGGGGGGGGTTAGCACAGGAACAGGGGGGGGGGGGTTAGCACAGGAACAGGGGGGGGGGTTAGCACAGGAACAGGGGGGGGGGTTAGCACAGGAACAGGGGGGGGGGGGGTTAGCACAGGAACAGGGGGGGGGGGCAAGGGGGACACTGCCACCTTGTACCTGGCGTGAGTTTGCCTGGCTGACCACGTCTCTGCGAAGTGAAACAAACGAGTCGCGCAGTGGAGGCAGGGCTCAGGCCCGCAGGGATTCAGTGGGCGGTGTGGGACAGAGGCTAGGAAGTGGGTCGATTGCTGTAGGGACTGCGAGGCCTCGGGGGGGAGGAGGAGGAGGAGGGGGGGGGGGAAGCAAACACAGAGCCAGCCACACCCGTTTTGACGTGCGAATTATTAATGGTATGGAGTGTGTGTGGCACTGGCAGCATTATGATTTTTATTTTATTTATATTTTTTATTTTACTTTTATTATTTTACATTTTTTACCTACGTGACTTTACCGAAAAAAACTAAGAATATGAATAAGCATTATGCCTGTAAATCCAGCAGTATGGCAGTGTTTGTGGTTGGTGTATCGCACGGACACGAAATCGTCATGGGCACCAGACAGTCCTCTGGGTGCAAGGTTGATGATGGCAATAACAAAAGCCAGAGGGTTGAACAACTGTTTGTGCATTGTTCTGAGCGGGTTGCAAAAAATAATCATTTCCTCCAGGTCCATCCACGCACGCCTGGGACAAGACAAAGATCACGTGGAATGTGCCCGATCTCATCAGATCTCAGAAGCCAAGCTGGGTTGAGCCTTGATGGTGCTTGGTCGTGCAGCCACGATGCATAACAGATGTCATAGACTGTGATTGTGCATGGCCCAGAGCAGAGGGCCATGCAGAACAAAATGCATTGTTGCACCGTACTTCTATGCTCCCCCCACCTGAATCAATCCGCACTGCCCAGTATGCTGCGATAGGGGTCAAATCACCCATCACGGCCCACACAAAGTGGGGAGGCCGTGATCCAGCACATGCACATGGACTGTACATATAATTTCACGAGTAAAATACAAAAATACTCACTCAAAGATCGCGAGCACCAACTCAACTCCCTCTTTAAAAACAAGAATGAGTCTCGAGACTGCTTGGTAAATTAATGGATTAATTTTATAATTACCACCGTCATTTATATGCAAAGTAGGCGGCTTGGTGAAGACAGACCCAATTCTCCCAGTGGCACGATGTAAATTAAATCTTGGACGTGGACCAGTGAGGCCTGCAACAAAGGGCCGAGTGCATTAATGCATTAATCATGTAGCAACTCACCCCCCCACCCCCCACACACATCCCCCATACAATCTTATTTTTCTATTCTCTTACATTTGACCTATGACCTCTGCATGCAATGTGGCTCCTGCAAGAGCTAAACGAGCATTTGCAGCTCCGTCAGGGGGGCTCCCTGCTTCTCCTCTAGGATGTGTTCCCCACTCGATAGAGCTCCCCGTCGGGACGAGGTGTTACGCGTTACGGTCGAGGGGAGGAGGAGGGGCTGCCTTAGCCTTGAGCGAGCACCCTTTGATGCAAGTATGAGTGCCACACAGAAATCAATGCCAAACCGGTGATTATAATCAAGACAACTTGAACGACTCCTATCTGGGAGCTGTGCACTACAAAAAGTCACCTCTGATGAGCACGGTCGGCTCGGTACGGTGCAAAAGAAGTTCAACATACGTACACGCAAGTCAGGTGTGATTCTCATTTAAATTGCATCGAGTCTGAGAGCCGTGCTCTGCCTAAACGTTGCAGCAGCATGAAAGTGCCTCCTAGATCTGCATACCTCTTTCTCCCATCCTGTGCATTATTCCAATTGTGCTATCAGCTTCACGTCTTGAGATGAAGACATTTATACTGGTAGGAACCTCCTGGTTACACCAGCCCACAGGGGATTATTGTGTCCGTCCGTCCGCCGTGCATCCAAAAATGGGAGGGGTGGGGCTGGGTGGAGAGGGGAGGGTGGGGAGGGGCTGGGTGGGGAGGGTGGGGAGAAGCTGGGTGAGGAGGGGAGGGTGGGGAGGGGCTGGGTGGGGAGGGTGGGGCTAGGTGGGGGGTGGGAGGGGTGGGGCTGGGTGGGGAGGGGCTGATCACCCCGTGGTGCCCTTATACAACTCAACGTTTAACCTACTCACGCCGGCTTGTGCCCTCCCTCACAGTCGGGCATATTTGCGGAATACACCACGCCGCCGTAGACCCTGGCCATTGACCGAGCAACCCAACGTTCCTACCAGCTCGCTCCGCAGGAATGTGTTGTAGTGAGCAGCGTCTCTCCCTATCCATAATAAAGGTTGTTGGGTTAGATCGCGTAAAAATGTGTCGACGCAGCCAATTAGTAAGGTTTGTCACGTAAACAAAACGTGCCAATTCGTTACTAGTTCAGCACACCGGTGGGTTGAAGAGTTACACCTGAGGATCCCGTTTTAATTAATGCGACTGTCCAGATTTGAACCCAGAATTTGTGCAGTGCTGATTCAGTAGTCTGACCCTTAAGCCATCCGGCTACCGCAGAAAATATGTTTTTTGAGGATTGGATTACATTAAGCGCATCAGAGATATGTCGATAAAACACCCCTGGACCAAACAGTGAAATTCAAATAGTGTTCAAAATATAATGCATATTGTGCATGCTGTAATTTATCGCAGTCGTATTTGTAAACGACTTTGCTTGCGGCGTTGGCATTAATAGAATTCAAATCCCACACGACTGTGATTGATCTATTGTGTTGCTTACTCGACGTACTAAGTAGGTATTATTATTTTTCTTCAATGCAAAGCTGTAGTCAATTTGAAGGCGACTTAATCACAGCTGTAATCACGATGCCGTTCGCATGGAATATCAAGCAAAGAAATGGCCCCCTTTAGACACACTGATTGTATTGACAAATGGCTTAAGTGCTAAACAAACACGGGTAAGAAACCGCACTTCCATCACCCAACAAAACACGACTCCAACTCTCCAAGCCCTTGCAGAAAATGCAAGCACCACTTTCAATCTGCCGCTGAAAGGGGCAGCACTTTAAATCTCAAACCGAACGCGCGGGCGGTCATTCCCTAAAAAAAAATAACCTCCCGTGCCCACTTGTAAACGAAGTGATGAGCGCCAACCACACAGATCCAACGATCAAGCTCGTGGTTGAATCTTAACTGTTTAAGACAAGGCTGGGTGCCTTATACACGCAGTTTGGTGATGTCACGTGACATGCAAGGCGTGGATGCAAAGCATGATGGGAGGACAGACCCTACGGTGACAGTCACACCTTTAGCCGCATAGAAATCACTATCTGCGCGAATCATTCGTCTTGTTTCTTTCCGTCCCGCGCTCACTTTTCTGTCCGACGAGTTACTCATCATGCACATCGCCGTTTAGGATTGGTTTAACGATCAGCCGCGTCTGACTCATCGGGTCTGAAGTTATCGTTTCCACTCGGCCACGTTTGGTAATTAATCACGTGGCACGGTGACGAATGAGCCATATCTGAGTACACTTTGATCTCACGGATGCTTAGATGGATCACGTGTGTTGTTGGCGCAATGAGAGCGTATGCATATCACGTGGAAATGCAATAATAGAATTTGTATTCATGAATAGTGTAAATGTGATTGCATATCATGATCATGATTAAGAATGGGCATTAGGTTGTCAATGGGGTTGCATAAAATTGTGGGGGTATGTAATGTATAGATTGGGAAAGGGTTGGTGAACAGGGGACCACATTGCATAAAATAAAATAAATATCAGGTTCAGGATGAAGGGAAAATTCAGTTGTAAGCAGAGGAGAGGGATAACCCATCAAGGTTGCACTTCAACAGTTCAACGCAGTGTCCAGCACTTTAGCAATCACTGCATTATTTTACATTTGAAATCAATCGAAAGTCAAATGCCCCCCTGCTCAAAGCGGCCATGGGGCAGCGTTCATCTCCATTAGCGGCTGTGAGTCCGTGGTGGATACTTCACGTGGTATTGCTGGTGGATATATTTTCCTATCGCACAATCACGATTGATACATTTTGATTTGTTTTTGTTTAACGTCATATATATTTTACAATGATAAGGCACATTATTCCCATTATGAATTCAATCTGCATGGCATTGACTTTCAATTCGACGCTTTTAGCCACCAGTTCCAATTACAGCGTGTGATAAGTACGGAGACAAATCCGAAAAGATGGAAAAACACTGCGGGTGAGTGCAGTGGGGAAGGTGGGGGTGGGGTAGGTAATACCACCTACTAAAGCAAAAAAAAAATTGATCAAAATATCATCAGCTGATGCCAACGCGGAGAACCAGGCAGATTGGATTGGCGCGCACAAAAAGGGGTTAATGTTTATTTGCTGTGTGTGTCCCGCAGTGGGCCGGCCCAGCGTGCACGGTGCGCGACGCAGCGCGTGGGGCTGCATGTGAAATCAATCGATACTCGGCGTCCATCCCATCCCAGCCCAGCGGCAGGCGAGCGGCGTGCACGCAGCAGGCAGCAGGCAAGGCGGGCAGGCTCAGGGCGAAGTGCCGTCGCTGGTGGAGTTGGGGAGAGAGCGAGTGGCGCAGGGATGCAGCTCTGAGTTGCACCGCAGCCGCCTCCCACCACCACTACCACCACCATCACCTTCCTGCTCCTGCTCCTACTCGTGCTGCGTGAGCCCGCGCGTATTTGACCGGCACACCGGCCGGCCTGCCAGGGACCAAGAGGGGGGCTACAGGAACCAGGGGGAGCTCCGGTGGAGACTCCTCTGGTCCAGAGGAACGACGACGACTTGAAGCGGTGGTGTCAATCCTGAGATCGAGAGAGTTTCCCGAGACAGGGAGTCAAAGCTTCACCCGAGCGCCTAGAGACCCTGCGAAGCACGGAGTCACAAACTGCACTTGTCCAACGGTAAGCAGAGTCTGTCTGCTCTTGATGTACGGCCGTCCTTTAGCCGCATACAGTGCAGCGCAGTGGGGTCGCGACAATATTCTGCAGTGGAGCTCGGGGATACTTAGCGAGAGCAGAATGGAACTTTATCGCAGACGAACGCAGCCGAGCCCTGCGCCGTATTGCAGCATTATCGTGCTGCATTGTAAATGTGATGGGTGACGACAACTTGTATTTTAAGTTAGTGTGTTTTTTTTTAAATCTGGTTCTAGAGCTAAACAAGCATTGTGAAATAAGATGTATGTGTGTGTGTGTGTTAAATCTCCATGTAACTTGCGCATTATTTTGTGCATGACCATGTCTTACACGGAATGCTTCTCGTTTCTACAAAAGCCACACAATGTGGCCACACAATGCCGGGATCTGCAGCACAATGCATTTTATGATGAATGGATGAGTGCCAGTATTGATTTTTTTTGCAAACAAGTGCAGACACACGCGTCTACACACACACACAATGCACACACACAGCACCACATTTAACCTCTCAGCAGGGGGGTCAGGGCTAAAGAACAGAGATTAAAAAAAATACAAGATTAATCGAGGTTGGGAGTGGCATTAGGAGAGTTGATTTTTTTTCAGACAATAGGCTTGCTCAGCACAAGAGATCGCACAATAGATTTTAAATAAAATACCGATGACCGATTTGGTAATGGAATGGGCCATCCAAGCATGCCCATTGTTTGAAATTAAACAAGCTTGGTTATTTTGGTGAGATGAAATATTAGAGAGAACAGATGGATTTAAAGGCATAAAACTTAATTTAATCTGGTACATATGCATATATTTTACGAGGTAGGCCGGATTAAATGTTTTTTGAAGGAAAATTCATTGAAGGACCATCATTTCCAGAGTATGCAAAAATGTGCAAATAACCAATTACATTTTCGCTTGAATTTCAAACTTGCCACGTTAATATAATGTTAACAATCCGTGCATTCACAATGTATAACAAATTAACGGGGTGTTTTTTGGGGGGAGTTTGCAATTATAATTTGTTGTTAACGGTTTCGATAAAAAAAACACATTCTTGTAAAACAGCGGCGTTCATTAGCGGACACAAACAATGAATAAGTGCGACGCAAATATTCACATGTCGATGTGAGACAAAGGCAAATGGTGTATCAGCACGTGGTTCGCGAAACCAGCGATGTGCGTTTGTGACCGTGCTACTTTGGACACCGCCGGTGGTGGGGAGGGGGTGGGGAGCCGATGCCAAAACCATCTCCTGGTGCTGCCCGCCCGGGGCTTGGCTCAATGTCTGCACCGCAAAAAATAAAGAACCCTCTGCGTGCAAAAATAAAAAAAAATGCTCGCAAGCCTCGCGTTAACCATCCGCTGCGCACCCTGGCGTCTTCCCGCCCGCCGTCAGCGTTCGCGAATTAGCAGACGGACCCTCGGACTCGGGACGCGACATCTTCCGTGGCGAGTCGCGCGCGGTTGTTAGCAGTGTGGGGTGGGGTAGGAGCTTGCGACGGCGGCAGTTTGGCTCCCAACGGCGGAGTGCGATTCGCCTCGACCTCGCCCCGTATCGCTAAGCCGGGCGCGTGTTTTGCTGCGACGGTGCAACGGCGTTCAGCTTTGTCGCATGGGGGTGCCTGCGTGCGTGCGTGCGTGGGTGCGTGCGTGGGTGCGTGCGTGCGTGCGTGCGTGCGTGGGTGCGTGCGTGCGTGCGTGGGTGCGTGCGTGCGTGCGTGCGTGGGTGCGTGCGTGCGTGCGTGGGTGCGTGCGTGGGTGCGTGCGTGCGTGCGTGCGTGCGTGGGTGCTTGCGTGCGTGGGTGCGTGCGTGCGTGCGTGCGTGGGTGCGTGCGTGGGTGCGTGCGTGCGTGCGTGCGTGCGTGGGTGCGTGCGTGGGTGCTTGCGTGCGTGGGTGCGTGGGTGCGTGCGTGCGTGCGTGCGTGCGTGGGTGCGTGCGTGCGTGCGTGCGTGGGTGCGTGCGTGGGTGCTTGCGTGCGTGGGTGCGTGCGTGCGTGCGTGCGTGGGTGCGTGCGTGGGTGCGTGCGTGCGTGCGTGGGTGCGTGCGTGGGTGCTTGCGTGCGTGGGTGCGTGCGTGCGTGCGTGCGTGGGTGCGTGCGTGGGTGCGTGCGTGCGTGCGTGCGTGGGTGCGTGCGTGGGTGCGTGCGTGCGTGCGTGGGTGCGTGCGTTGCGTGGGTGCGTGCGTGGTGCGTGCCGTGGTGCGTGCGTGCGTGGTGCGGGCTATTCGCGTTAAGGTAGGCAATGGACACGTATCGCTCGCGAGCGGTCAACAAAGTTTTGAGATCGACGCATTAAGATTATTAACTGATGGGCGGGGATGATTTTTTTTTTTTTAATACAGCTATGTTGAATGTTAAGACATTTAGTTTGTGTAACGATCAGCACAAACGGTGTCAATGCGTCAGCTCGAACGCCGTAGCGTTACGTCAGAGGCGAGTAATATCCATGCCAGGCTTGAGCCAACCCTTGACCAATAATGATGAAGTATGGTCAAAAAATCCCCATGACCTAAAGGGCTGGGGAGGGGTTTTCATGCAGCAGTTGTTTGACAAAGGGCTGCACGTAATTATGTAATTACTGCCATCACTACATAAACAGGGTGCGATTACATAATGAACGTAGCATTATTTTGGAGCGATTCCGTTTCAAAGCATCACATGTCAAAAAGTTTGACCTCCGTTCAAATGCCAAACAAAAGGAGGGGTTATTTTAAAACATATATTTTTTTTTAAACCCAACATACTCATCTGACTTCTTATCCACAATGCACGCATACTCGTAGACAAACGGCGCATTCAATTTCCAACCACGCAGGGTCCCCGTATTCGCTCACTCTACCAAACAGCCGCGCGTTTTCTCCCTATTGCGCGTGGTCCCTTCTGGGAGTGGTGGCTGCGGCGATGGCGTTCGGTGGCTCTGCAGTGGGAAAACGGGAGGCAAGAGAACGTGGTTGGAAGGCCCCCCAGTGCCCCCCCCCCCGCCCCCTTAATCTCCCTCCGCCACCCCCCCCCCTTCAGCAGTTCACTAACCAGCCCCCCCCCCCCATGACTGCAATGCCCATCGATAACATCTTAGGTCGTGACGCTATTTCGCGAATTCTCTCCCAAAAAAAACTCCCCACCAGAGCAGAAATTTACACCGAGCTTAGTTAAAAGTGGTTATACGGTTGGGCCAGAGGTTGTCCCTGTTTGTGCGACTGCGGTTTTTTTTACGCTGAACCCGCGCTCGTTACATAAACGTGTGTACTCGCGTAGCCCCGGTGAGTCATCGCTGTGAGTTAATTCGGTGCACCATGAAATGCACTTCTTCTACCGTGCACTATATGCGCAATCTGCAGAGGTGTGGACTCGAGTCATGTGACTTGGACTCGAGTCAGACTCGAGTCATGAATTTGATGACTTCAGACTCGACTTGGACTTGCATAACAATGACTTTGTCCCACCTCTGGCAATCTGTGCCTTTGATGGTCGCACAGAGGTTGGTTGTATTTCACATTTTCCGAATCCGCATGGACGCAGGTATTAAGACAGATAATTGACAGAAATGTGATGTTGACTAATGATGCCGTTTTTTGCATTTTCTTGCAAAAAATAAAATATTCATATTCGGTTGCGTCCCTTAATCAAATAAGCCGAATGTGCCCCAATGTGCTTTGCGAACAGCAATTCCCTCTGTGCTTCTCCCCTGGTGGTCCTGAGCCAGTGATGAACATTCCACATGCGTATGGAAAAGGGAAGTATGTCGACCGGGCCAAGCCATGGTGGCTACCTACCAAGTAATGCGGCGCTGTTCTCACTGAACTCAGACGGCAATGAAGAGCTGGGTGCAATCGTTGCCAGGATTTGAACCCATAGTTGTCATAGCATCTCCGCCAATTGAGATGTATCGCAGCTCCAGTCCACAGTGAACGAATGTGAATAACTTGTGTTGGGCATTGTAACAAGAATGACAACTCGAATGATCTCCACAAACGATCACGATTCGGAAGTGGCGGTGAGTTTCAAGAATCGGTCGACTTTTGATTTTGTTTTTACCGTCTTGTTTGCGTTTTTTCTTTCTTTTCTCGTTCATATCATGAGTAGGGCTTTTACCCATTTCGTTCGCCTAAATATAATAAGGGTTTAATTTGCGCGAATCATAGGTGACCGTTTCTTACGCGTGCGATTTTATGCAGATGTCAGTGTTAATACTAACGCGATCCGGGGGTAGAAATACCCAAAGGGATCCCAGGTTATTGTGAAAGAAGACGTCACAGGCGAAAGGAAAAAGAAGGCGGGGCGTAAGCGAGAGGGTTACGCCCAGGAGGGGCAGCGGTGACGTCACCGGATGAGGTGGGGCGATCAGGGCGGCTTCCTGGTGGGAGTTTTGAGTGGAGTTGTCGCACGCAGCGTGAACTCGTGTGGAGAACAAAGAGGAGTTGTGTCGTCTCAACCTTGTGTCGAGGGGCGTAGGAATCAATTTGAAACGGTGGATTGAAGCGATGACAAATGCCAAACTTGCGCTCTGCTCTGTGCCATACAAATGTTATCCTTAAGTAAGGAACGAAACAGGAGGATGTATCAACAAATCTGGCCGTCGCCTGATGAAGTTAGTTGTAAAGGACTGGCAAAACGTCGTACTCAGATTGTAAATGTTGTGGCTTTGATCTCCAACACATCATCGGTGTGCTGTACTAGTGACGAATTGGCATGTTCTTATTATGTGACAAACCTTACTAATTGGCTTTGTCGGGTGGTGGCGGGTTTAACGACACATTTATATATTTACGCCATCAAACCCAAAAAAAACTTGTGGATGATATTGGTTACAAAAGCCTACATGTTAAACATACACATTTTTATTTGCGTCAGCAATAGCGCAATCGATATATGATGGTTTATATTCAATATTTTATGTATATAACTGACGAAAGTCACCATGTGATGGGAAACGTCAGCTCTGATGAAAACCGAACAGGTTAATGAAGAAGCAACCTTAATCCAAGC